GACTAGACTATCAGACTATTATATCGCGCGCGGGGATTTCCCTTACAAAAACCGGGATAAAAATTTGAGAATGTCCAATTCCCAAAATGTCCGACGGTTTCAAAATGTCCAATTCCTGAAATGTCCGACGGTTTCAAAATGTCCAATTCCCGAAATGTCCAATCCCCAAAAAGGCCAATTCGCGTTCAGTGCCTCAGTGGTTTTAAAACACATTATTTTATGGGTTGGAGATCGCAGTTTAAAAGATTGATGTTTTTCAGAGAGCGCTGCTGCCCGTTCTCTGTTTGATGTGTAGTCCCTAAATCGCCTCTTACGCCCGTATCCGTATTCACAAACATTACTATGAGGTCTCACAGTGCGCGTGGACGCACAGGGTGACACATGAACCAATCACAGAGCTCTAATCAACGCTGTGCGTTCGATTTTCTGCTTCACTGAAGCAAGTATCGTTTGTGAATACGAGTGTGACTCTCACCCGCGGGAGGTTGTAAATTTAATCTTACCGTAGTAGTGCACAATAAAGAGCTAGGTACAACTAATATGGTTAGCAGTACCTAAGTACACAAAAGGTAAAAAGATTAAAAAATTTCGTAATAACTAAGAACTAGACATAAAACTATCACGATAACAGTGTTGTGATGCTGTCATTTTGATAAAATTACGTAATTATCTTTCTTTATAGGTAATGTACATGCAAATATACATTCAAATATACTTTTTGTAAATGAAATTAGTATTTAGTTACTGTCGCAGTGATCTCTAGATACATAGTTAGGTAGATATTATTAGTACTTATTATCATTATAAAATACTTGTACGAATAGCCAATGGCTGAAGCGTTTTGATAGCGATCACCAAAGTATAAGATATACACATGCTCAATACTAACACCAAAGACTCGAAGCTCGAAAGCTCGACTCAGTTATAGTTCTTGCAACTCACGAAGGCGAGTGAGCTTTACTTTTTGTGTGTACGTGTCATGCACATAACTCATAACTTTCTGAACAAAGCATCCGATAATTATTTGATACAGACTTTGTTAACCTACGTTTAAAACTGCAAAAATGATCGTTCATGTTATGTTAGAACTGATGGCCGATGAGGCAGATAATTTCTCTAAAAGCGGCCATTAATTACTGTTTATTGTCCGTGGTTCATATCTTTTTCATAAAGGTTACTAAACCTTTGTTTGTCACCTGTCATCCGCTTTGCAACGGAGGGAAGTCGAACCTTAACTTCGAACTCCTCCTATGTTCTTCTGATTAATCTCGTTGCGGGTTCAATGACAGTTTGACTTTCCCCCGGGACAAACTTGACCTTCACTGGTTGGGTTTTTATTGGCGGTCAAGCTGTAGATCCTGGCTACACAGGAGTTGCAGTGGTGGGAAAGAGAGGTGGGAATAGTCCTGTAGAGGCGACCACGGATCGAAAGTATGCCGAAGTGGTATGCCTTTCACTGGGTAGACCGACGATTTTGCGATGGTCACAGGAAGCACTTGGATGCAGACCCGCTGGTCGTACGTTGTGGAAGTCCTTGAGAGAAGCTTGTGCAGCTGTGGATGTCATTTAGGCCCAGAACAGACGGTGAAACGCAACTGCAACGAAACTGCAACTTTCTGATGATTCTGATGAATGAAACTGAAACTGAAAGTTTCAAACTGGTCGCGTCATGTGTGGTCTCTCAACGGACGCTATGGCAGAAACTTAGATGCAACTCAAAAGTAACTAGCAGTTGCAGTTGCGTTTCACTGTCTGTTCTGGGCCTTACCCGAAACGACCTCAGTAACTGCATACAATATTAATTCACCATGCTTAAATAATCTATTATCTTCGACACATTCTTGCATCGGATATAATAGTGTTCCATTGTACGTAGTTGTCCAACTGTTTTTCGTAACTTAGACCTTGCTTTTTCTTTTATTTTCTTTAAAATTTGCATTAATGACAAACTGTATATTAGCAAATTCATGAAATTTATAAACCGGTCCAAAGTTATGGGTGGTCAGAAAAAATCCAGCTACTTGGCTCGTGGACCAAGCTAAAAGTGTGTGTAAAATCATAGCAAATGTTGTGATAGGGATAGAGACATGCGATTTTTGGTTTTACAAAAGTAATACGACAATGAATAATAAAAACCACCTGTTATAGGGGCATTTTTTGGAGAAATTTATCAAATAACCAAAAAAATACGAATTTTTAAGCAGATTTTTTTCATAAAGTATCATTTTTTATTATTTGTTGGCATTTTCTGGGTATTTTATGTATTTTTTTAGCATCGCCTGTTATTTAGCACTATTACTGTTTTTATTTTATCAGGATATACCTCTCAGTTTAAAAGTTATTACGTTTTCTTTACAATAAGTAATTGAAAGAAATAAAAATCTATAAAAAAAATTTAAAAAATCTCAAAAAAATTTTGACCTCTTTTTTGTCGATTAAAATAGGTCTAGTTTTACCTCAATTCATATGTGCACTTTATCGCGACTCACACTGTATTGTGGTAACGAAGGACAACTACGGAACCCTACACTGCGCGTGCCACGACACGCACTTGGCCGGTTTTTTTTTAGTTATAGTTTTGTATGTTTTAACGTTTTGTTTATTTTTACGAAAAAAAAATCTATTAATCTTTAACATAAGAAATCAGCATGGCAAAGTTTGGTTTGCAAAAACCCAATTTTTTTGTTTTTAAATTAAATTTTAGTTTGATCTAAAAATCTACGAACCAATTCAGTTTTGGGCGTCGTTTCTAAATACAGGCCATAAATCATAAAAAGTTTTTGTATTTATGCACATACATTATTGTAACATAACTTACTTAAAAGTTATTTTCATCGATCAGGGTCAGTATGTAGTCGATCGGCGCAGAAATGCTGACAGCATTTTTGAGACAGGTAACTGCTACCCGTTCGCGCTAAGTTTGCCGGTCCGTGGAATGCGCGTCCCGTCCCCCAAACGCGATTAAACGCGATTAATGTGTCTTATTTTACGCAAATACACATTTTTTATCAATAATGATAAATAAAAAAAAAATAGTTTGTTATAAGTAGTTAGAGACGCTTCCTTTAGAGTGACGTCATATCGCCAGCGGCAAACTTAAATCGAACGGATAGGTACTTTAGTGTCATCATCATCAACATCCCTGTACAGTCCACTGCTGGACTATGAGCCTCCTTCACTTAAGTGGAAGGTTTTGCCATAATCCCTACGCTTGGCAGGCGAGTTGGAGCTTGGAGCTGCTGCCCGTTCTTTGTTTAAAATGTGTAGCTTTACTTTTTAACTTTAGCGTAATTATTTAAAACCTTAAACCACAGTTTCAATCCTTTTGTTTTTCATGTAAATATTTTATTAAACGTATAAGGGTACTTCTCATTTACACTCAAATTTGATGGTCACACAATAATAGTTCATAAACGGTATAAGTTAGAACAATAACTTTGAAATCAGGTGATAACATATCTATTTAGCTACATACAAAATAAATTTTATCGTAATAGAAGCAAAAATAATACGAAAACATCACATCAAACGATACAAAACGGGGTCATTTTTCGCGTTCTCATCGTGTCACACCTTCGGTTGCAATTAAACATTTGGTTACTGCATTCACAATTTTCATTCAATTTATGTGTAGCATATACTAAAATCATCGTAATTAAATATACTTTCCACACAATGTCTGTATGACTGTATGTATGTCTGTATATGTGACTGTGTATCTGTTTGTAAGATACATTTAATCTGAAGTTTGAGTTAAAAGTTGTACAACAAAAATACGAGGCCATCTGGCCTCAATAAATAAACATATTTTTTGTTGAGGGACTTTTTTTGTTAAGAGTTCTTTTTTATTGAGGTACTGATAATCCTTTTTTTTGCTTCTTTAGCATTTCAGAATGCCACCAGTATCACCCTTAAAACCAATTGCGTAGAATCTTGTAACTTAGTAGGTGACGTTATCGGTAAAATTTTATCTTGTACTTAAGTACCTACCTATTTATATTATGTTATTGCCTATCTATGAAATGTTATATTTATGAAAATAAGACAAAATATATGTTTTATAAATACTTAAGAGTCATTTACAGTAGTAAAGTTTGAAAAAAATATTGCTGTGAAGTACAGAATCACTTTCGTGGCATCAAAAAATTCAAAACGTTAAAGCTTCCAAACCAGACTCACTATTTGACTGATTTACTGAGAATACACTCTTCACATCAAGCGCTACAATTTTTGTTTACAAAAAGTTGAAATAAGTTAAAAATAAAATTTGCCACGAAGGTGACGATGAGAACCGTGGCGATGAGAAATAGCCATAAAGATGGCTGTTCTTTAGTCTTGCTAAAACTCAAGCACAGTCTGGCCGATTTAACTAATATTGTTTTTGAAATGTTTGTCGGAGTGCAGGGATGGTTTAAACTTTGAGAAAAAAGAAATATGTTAGACAAACAATTTACTTTAAAAAATCTAGATAACGTAGACTATTCAGATAATCTAGATTTTTTTAATCTTTATAATGTTAATGTTCTAAATAGATAACTTGATACGTTTATTGCCCAAAAGTAAATTAAGAAATCATATTTATGGTGAGCGATCTTGACCTGGTTTTTGCAGAATAAAATAAAAGAAAAATATTTACATGAATTCTAAATAATTTAAAACACTATGGTGTCTACGTGTACGTTTAAAACTTAATATGAAGTCGCCTTTTCTTCCACTAAAAGAAAGAAAAAATAAAGGTACAGAAAAAAACATTTACTTATTCCTCTTTTTTGTGAAGTCATAGGAAGTCATTAACATTACCTAACCGATAAGTTTAATGAAGAGGTTATTACCCAAGAGTCCCAAAACAATAAAATTGTGAATTATTTATATATATTCCCCTGTGATTGGAGATTTCGCTTCCACCTTCGGCCTGTTGATCACTTTCCATCAGGTGAGATGCAGGCTCCAGCTTCTTCGTTATAGATACCTAAAAGATACATGTTGCATTTACTTTTCAGCTATGGCACGTGTCTGCAGTGCACTTCAACATGGTAGCCCTGGGCATGGGCATGGGGTATCCCTCCTCCCTGCTGCCTGCCCTCAGGGCACCAGACTCCCCCATCAAGCTTGATCTGAACGCCGCTTCATGGATATGTAAGTAACATACGCCCGTATTCACAAACGATGCTTGCTTATGTGAAGCAGCAAATCGAACGCACAGCGTTGAATAGAGATCTGTCATTGGTTCGTGTGTCACCCTGAGCGACCACGCGTACTATGAGACCTTATAGTAATGTTTGTGAATACCGGTGATAATAGAGCGACAATAGCCGAACGGTGAAGGGGTCGGACTGGCCAACTCTTGATCCTTATCAGTATATTTCTCAGTGAAGAACTTACTACTACTACTTCTCATACTGACCAAATGACCGGTCATTTGGTCTTCTTCACTGAAAAGTATGGCCGTCTTGAATTACCAGAGGTAATTTGACTTACATTCCTCACGCTGGATAGACGGGTCAATAATTGCTTTATTAGACTGACCCGTTATTAGAAACATTTCGAGAGGTTTTGCATTGCGTCCGATCCGATTTGAACTCCGTCAAAATACGGATTTAGAAAATTACTTTATTAGAAGAATCGGATGACGTACTCGTATATCGGACCTAGTGCGTAAACTAAGTACTATACAAAAATTCTATGATAATCTCGACCATACTGTCACGGATTTGGATTTGGATCCGAGGTAGCTCGAATATCTTTCTACTAGCACCAACACAAACTAAGGCCCACAACAGACGGTGAAACGCAACTGCAACGAAACTGCAACTTTCTGATGATTCTTATGAATGAAACTGAAACTGAAAGTTTCAAACTGGTCGCGTCATGTGTGGTCTCTCAACGGACGCTATGGCAGAAACTTAGATGCAACTCAAAAGTAACTAGCAGTTGCAGTTTCGTAGCAGGTCGTATTTGAAAAAAGACGTTTCTAAAATTTTTCAATGCCACGTGTAAAAGTTTATTGTGAGCTGATACGCTGTTGCAACAGCAATAGGAATATCCAGTCAAGCTATTTCTGTAGAACGAATCAAAGATAAGAGACGTGAAATTGACAAAATATTCATGACTCTGACAATACTTATTGACGACAACAATTCATACATTATAATGCTCTGGTACCTATAAAAATATGACCTTCAATAAAAGGAAAATGACCTCTCAAAGATTTCCACAATGACCCTGAAATGCTTCCCGCGATCTTAGATTATAATCTAAAAACAAATTGATTCGGATATAAGAAGTAACTTGCCCTACAGAGGGTTATAGGGTTTGGGTTCTTTTGAAACTAGCTGCTTGCACTATCTCATCTCTAGTAGTAAAACCACACACACGTAATCATATTTTTTTAATTTTTGCAGCGTCATGTATAGGCTTCTCCTCAATACCTGGCTACATCGTCAGCTCCTGGCTCATGCACGCCTGGGGCCGGCGCGTGACGTGCCTGCTCATGCAAGTGCCCGGCGTTCTTGGCTTGCTCTGCATCTACTTCGCCAACGACTTCTACCTGCTCCTCCTGGGCAGGCTCCTCGGGGGATTCACCGGCGGTGGCAATGTATCTCTAGGCTCTGTCGTCATCGGAGAATTCTCCAGCCCACAGAACAGAGGCATGTTCCTCAATCTCAAAACTGCCTCACTCTGCACTGGTAGCGCCATTGTCCACGCTCTCGGCCACTTCTACCACTGGAGAACACTCGCGCTGATGTGCACAGCGCCCTACATCATATCCTTTGCCATCATCTGCACATGGGTGGAGAGCCCCGCTTGGCTCGCCTCTAAAAATAAATTTCAAAAAAGCCAGGACGCTTTCTTGTTCCTGCGAGGTGATAGTGACCATTCTAGAAGAGAGATCTCGGATTTGATCAGAACACAACGAAATAAGACCCAGCAAAAAAAGAAGAAAGTCTGTCGATTGGTTTTGGACTTCTTCAAGAAATTTGGAAGAAAAGACTTTTATAAGCCCGTATTTATTTTGACCGTCGGCTTTATCCTGCTTGAATTCAGCGGACGCCATATTTTTCCGGCGTATGCTGCGGATATTATTAACCAAATTGCTGGAAATAAGGAAGAGGCTTTCTACTACAATCTAATTATAGATATTATCATCGCCTTGAGTGCTACCATTTCTTCAATTGTAGTCAAACTGATGAGGCGAAGACTCGTGCTGTTCACAACTGGTTTTGCATCTGTTATTGTAGTTTTATTATTATGTGTCTATCTATATCTTAGTGCTGAGGGCATAATATCTAAGGAAAGGTCTTGGGTGCCCATTACAATATTCGTTTTGTACTTCATTTTAGTAAATCAGGGCAGTGCTCCGATACCTATGGCTTTGTTAGGGGAACTCTTGCCCTTGGAGCACAGAAGTGTGGGGTCTAGTGTCTCAGGAATTACGATAGCGCTTCTTCTTCAATTTGGTTTATCGGTAACTCCATATTTGATGCAGTCCGTAAAAGTTTACGGTACATTTGCAGTTTTTGCCGCCATGTCATCGGTGTGTCTAACTATTCTTTACTTTGTATTGCCTGAAACGAAGGATAGAACTTTACTCGAAATTGAAAATTATTTCAAAACTGGTAGATTTGATGATATTGATGAGGACGATGTAGAAACTAAGAAAATGATCTTAACTGAAACAAAGCAGTGAAATCAACGAAAAGGGAAATTATACGAAAATATTTAGAGCAGCGAAATCCCTTAAATCTACTATATAAAAATAAGTCGGGTTTTCCTTCCTGACGCTATAACTCCAGAACGCAAGAACCGATTTCCACGGTTTTGCATTCATTGGAAAGGTCTCGGGCTCCGTGAGGTTTATAGCCGCGCGATAAAGCTTTTCTGTGACAGACAAAATTGTACGCGGGCGAAGCCGCGGGCGGAAAGCTAGTCTGAATCTGAAAATCATCATCATCATTTCAACTACAGGACGAGGACGGCCACTGCTGAACATAGGCCTCCCCCAATGATTTCTATACTGCCCGGTTGGTAGCGGCCTGCCAACCTTCTTTGCTTATGAGATCGTCGGTCCACTTTGTATTTGCGTGCTAAATATGTAATTCAATGGGTAGAGCAGCTAATACCTATTGCGCATCAATGTGAACTATAAATAATAATGTGCGAATCAGATTGTTTAATGTACCTAAGCTTTAATAACTTATTTTTTTTATGTGGATTTACCAACTCCTGTTAACATTACTTTTATTCCAGTAATTAGGTAATTAACCAAGCATAGGATGAAATCCTATTTCGAAATATTTTTCCAAGACCATTGCCTAGTCATTTGTTGCATTGTGAGACTTTATTCTAATCTAAAGTTATGACTTTGTAGTAAACTGTCTCCAATATTTGTTTATTCAACATCAACACTAATTAACTTGATAGCAGAACAAGTGGACGTGTTTGCGTGTTCTCTAAGTGAATTCACAAGGACGGCTTTGGGTAATTACTAGTTATAAAATGTAAATAGATACTGTATGGTTAGTTTTTAAGTTATTATTAAGCCTACCTAGATCAAGTTATGCTATCGCATTAGGTTTTAAGTACCTGTAAAGATAGTGATAATGTGTGTGGAAATAAATAAATAAATAAAAGAATATTTTATAATTTACATAATTTTAATTAAAATAAAATTTTGTTAATTAGTCTGTTTATCTTATACCCGTATTATTATTTTACCCGTGAGAATACCTCCTAAACAAGAAAACAGCATTACAACGCGATCAAGCTAACTGCGCACCTCGCTTGAATGTGACTCTCCGTCACACTCACCCGCACCGCACACCTCGCGTTCACCCCGCCCGTACCAGAGCGTCAATGTGACGTCACGGCAGCCTGGTGCGCAGCGCAGTTAACTCGATCGGTCTGTAAATAAATGCACCTTTGTTTAAAATTCCCAAACTTCATTACCTTCATGTTAGGTAACTTCATAGAATATTCATCATGCTTTAAAATACTTAGTTTGTTATCTAGAATGCATTAAAAATAATTAATTTTATTCATTGATTTTATTGGGTCAACTGTTTTTTTTGCAAAATCTTATTGCAAACAAAGGAAAGGGAACAAAGACGTATCTTTGTTTCCTTTCGATTAAATTTACTTTTCAATGAAATATTGTTTAATCAACATCTGGCAGTCCTGCAATTTACAATTCGGACTAAACCTTAATGTAGTTGAACCAATTACTTACCACTAGCCTACTGAGGGCCCTAGGCATTTAAGGGCAAAAAGGGATACTTAAAAAGAGATATTATTTTCAGCGATCACAATAAGTATTCACAGGTAATATTACAACGGCACGGAACGAAACCCTTAATACGGAACCTTAAAAATAAATAAATAACACAAAAACCCTTGGAAATGGTGTAAACAATTGCTGGTAAGGCCACCCACACCGATGACGTCATTATAATAGCAATCACACAGCAATTTATTTAAATGAGTAAAAAGTGCAAAATTAAAAGTAAATAAGTACTTACCTTACTGCTCACTAGTCAACCTTCAAATATGTAGATAGGCTTTATTTATTTCTACCATCCACAATTACCTACTTATATTCGGCCTCCCTCTTGATGGACCGACGATCGGGTGAAGGTCGTGGGAGGTGCCTGGATACGGGGCGCAGGATCAAGAAGAATGTGCAATCCTTGAGGGAGGACTTCGTCCTAGCACAGAATACAATAGTAGCAACAGAAATTGCACTCCTTTGATCTACGAGTAGATCAGATGCCGAAATGTTAATAAATAAATGCAAAATTTCCAACGCATTCAAATCCAGTGCATTCGAAATCGCACCTTACTCTACGCTTTTGTGTTCAGGTTCAGGGGGCCTAGTGTGAATTTACGTCAAACGCAATCGATGTCGACCGCGTAGAAAAGTGACATTAAAATGTATGACGGATTGTAGAGCGCCCCTAGCGGAAACTTGCAAGAACTAAAATCTTTATAATATATTTTTAACGCGTTCGTTAGTGAGGACATTGATGTAAACTCACACTCAGCCCGCAGAATAAAACCTACCACACAGCTCAAGCGTCAGGGTTTTATCGTTCGTTCGTTTGTTTCAGCCGAAAGACGTCCACTGCTGGACAAAGGCCTTCCCCAAGGATTTCCACAAAGACCGGTCATGCGCCGCTCGCATTCAGGCAGAGTTTAAGGAAAGTAAAATTAGTAAATATCCTACTTAATTTTAAGAAGTTTAAATTTCTTACCATCTCCAAAGTATGTAGCTATTAATAAAATTGTACAGTCGTTTGTTACTCTATTTTAATACTTTGCCAGAGAGTGAACACGCCCTAAACAAGATTTTTTCTGATTAACCTTTTGTTATTTTTCCACAAGAAAACCGCAAATCAATCTATCTAATTGTATTTGATAGTTCTGCAAGTATAAAGTCCAGTAAGTAATTTTGTAGGTATAGGTACACACAATCACAATGGCATTACTGATATTTATTTTATACTCAACGTACTATACTACAACAAAAACCGTTCCTGACTAGATGTGTGTGTCTCTGCAACCAATCGAATAGGTAGTCTAGTTACTCCACATTTATTACCCTATAGTATTTTCCGAAAAACTGTTTTCTGCGGGATTCCATTCTAGGACTAAGTATTTCTAGGATTTCAAGATTTGTTAATTTGGAAAGAAAAATATAGGTTGTGATTTTGGCTGGGTTTGACCCTAACCGGTAATTTTTGTATGTTTGACAGACTTTCGACGTTTGTCACAGTTAAAGTAAGATTGTGCAACCCAGCCTTACACATTTTCTAAAAAATATGTATGAGAGTTACACAAAATTATTTATCACCTACATCTTTGCACACATCTGAAAGATTAGAAAATCCTTTTAAAATATTATCCAGATAATCATTGTCGCAACAAATATCTTAGTTAGTAAGATAAATATATCTTTATCAAGTTATTAGTAACAATAACAGTATTATTTTCCGTGTAAATATTAGTTTTTACATTCTGATATGATACGAACAGCTCCATAGAGCGGGAGAAGTGGCGTGGTGTTTGGTACCTAAGTACCTACAAGGTTCGATTGTTGTTCAGGTCAATCAAGAAAAGGAGATGTGAATAATGATTATGATAAATGATTCAGAATCATATCAACAATTTATACTTCTATACTAATATTATAAATGCGAAAGTAACTCTGTCTGTCTCGCTTTCACGCCTAAACCACTGAACCGATTTTGATGAAATTTGGCATAGGGATAATTTAAGTCCCGGCAAAGGACATAGGATAGTTTTTATCCCGGTTTTTGAAACAGGGACGCGCGTGATAAAGTTTTTCTGTGACAGACAAAATTCCACGCGGGCGAAGCCGCGGGCGGAAAGCTAGTAATATTTATACGACGTAGCCCGTTAAATTTTGTCAGTGTGTCGAGTCAGATTCGAGGAACGCGGGTTCGATCCCCATTGCCACTAGACTATTGTAGTGAACCCACTCATAAAAAACTCATTTATTTTTGCAAATAGGCGATTAAAAAACACTTTTACACGTCCCAGTATTAACCCTACCACTGCTTCGGGTCAATAAATGGGCCAGTGCTGAGAAGAAGCAGCGCAAGAAACTCAGTCACTACTAAGCACTCGTAAGCGACTTGGCCCGTGGGCCAACTAAAAGTGGGCCAAGTCACTGGAAGACCAAGACTCCAAGATTACCACGAGGGGTTAACGGGACTCCTGTCCAAAAAAAATCAAGAATACATTTTATTCATTAAAATCATTATAGCCGTTATAACGGCCATAATATGTCGGCCCTTTGGTGGTAGAGGTTCGAAACGGACTACTATGCCGAGCGAGAGGTCCCCAGTTCGATTCCCGGCCGGGCAAAAATTGATAATTTTAATTTCTGTGACGAGTCTATCGTAGGTGTTACTATGTAAATATAAATTGTATTAATTAAGTGAACATGCACGAAGTCATGAACACCAGTTTCAAGTGACGCGAAGTTTTTATTTGTATTTAAATGTCCTTTCAAATTCGTGGTCCACCCACGTCTAAGTTTATTATTAAGGACAGGTAAGTACGAGTACTTATTAATATAGTATGTACCTAATACGGCAATACTTTTCGAATAAAAGATAAAATATTTTGTACGGCACGAAGAAGGCACGTCTCTACTTGAATAAAAGGCTCTATATTACGTTTTATAAGTACCTACCAAATGTCTGACAGTATCGAACTTGTCCCATCAGTCCTATAACACAGGTTATGATCTATCTTCTATCTATATAAATAAAAATGAATTGATGTTCGTTAGTCTGATTAAAACTCGAGAACGGCTGGGCCGATTGAGCTGATTTTGGTTTTAAAATGTTTGTCGTAGTCCAGGGTAGGTCTAAACGGTGAGCAAACACGCGCGCGATATTGTTTTTCTGTGACAGACAAAATTCCACGCGGGCGAAGTCGCAGGCGGAAAGCTAGTAAGAAATAAAGTTTTCAATTGACCTGACCAAGACTCAAACCTTGGGACTCAGTGAATACTTTAAATTCACCTCTCCGCTATATTGAGTCGATAAAAACGCAGCAATTTAAAAAGGTTCAATTCCAACTGCGCCTTCCGGGAAAAACAAATCTTACGACAATTAAAAACACTTTACAGTTTATTGGCTTATTTAATGATAATGATAATTTCTGTCACAACACCGATCCGCGAGTGGGCGCAGATCGCTGCGAACTTTGATAATGGTCGCTCCTTTTGTTAAACAGGTAGTTTTTTATTTGTTTTGCCTTAAAAAAAATCAACATGCCTTCTTAACGCATCGCTAAGTAATGCAGTCGAGAAACTAATTGTTGTTGTTTTTTTTTGGTTTGTGAAGTTACTGGTGTGAAATGTTGTGAAAAAGAGTGGAAAAATGTGCTGAAATTGTGAAGATTTTTTAGTTTGGCCCTTTTAAGGGTTGGCAATTTATGGTTGGATTTTTTCATTTTATATTAAACAAAATTCGCACTGAAGCAGAAAATAGAATAGAAAGTATTTATTTGTCTCAAAACACTAGATTTAAAAAGCTGGGGGCTTAAAAGCCTCTCTACTGAGAAAAAATATTTGAGTTTGTACACACTCCAATTTTATGCAATTTTCGTTCAGCGTTGTCGATCGAAAAACAACTATAACTAATTTCCTTGGGATGTCCTATCTCTTACCCTTTAAAATAATATGAAGAACTAAACATTTGTAAAATTAAATTTAAAAAAATGTGTGAGCTTAAATAAAAGAGTAAAAGCACGACCAATAAATATTATCGAACCTTCACTCGTAGTTAACAATATGCTAGCTAGGTACAACAATATTGTCAACAGGCTGGCCTTCTTAAATAAATACTGAGGAGTGAATGCAATAAAAACATTTTTTTTTAATAAACACTGCAAAGCAGACATCGTTAAAACCGTTATAATAGTTTAAATAATGACAATAATCCTTGTTGAGCTAGCCAATGTTATCTATACTTATAATAAATCTGTAGAGAGGTCAATTCTGTACATGAAATATATTTTCAAAATAACTATCAGGGGGTGTAAATCATTTCGTATGAAAAATCTAAACCGCTTAAGTTAGACGCTTGTAATTTGACACGTAGGTACCTTAGTAAACTTAAAGCTTAGTTACAACAGGATATTGCAAAATTCTCACGGGAACGGGAGTTAGCGGGAAAAAACATTTGCATGAAAAAATCTAAACCGCGTAAGATAGATGAAGGTGGTAAAACGGGATCCACGCGTACGAAGTCGCGGGCGGCCGCTAGTAAATTAACAAAATATGTAGAGCCTTCTAAAGTAGGTACAAAATAACTTTTTTATGTTAAGTATCGCCGTATTACGCTTGAAATTTGGCATGCAGGTACCTTAGTAAACTTAAAGTTTAGTTACAACAGGATATTGCAAAATTCCCACGGGAACGGGAGCGGGAAAAAACATTTGTATGAAAATATCTAAACCGCGTAAGATAGACGCTTAAAATTTGGCATGCAGGTACCTTATAGTAAACTTAAAGCTTAGTTACAACAGGATATTGCAAAATTCCCACGGAAACGGGAGTTAGCGGGAAAAAACATTTGTATGACTGACTCACTGACATATCAATGCACAGCCTAAACGGCTAAACGTAGGCACTTGAAATTTGGAAGGGACGTAGCTTAGGTACCGTAGAGGTGCACTAAGAAAGGAATTCCCGAAATTCCCAAGGCAACGGGAATTCCCGGGAAAATACTTTTGTATTAAAAATCTAAACCGCTTAAGTTAGACGCTTGAAAGGCATGCAGGTACCTTAGTAAACTTAAAGCTTAGTTACAACAGGATATTGCGAAATTCCCACGGGAACGGGAGTTAGCGGGAAAAAACATTTGTATGAAAAAATCTAAACCGCGTAAGATAGATGAAGGGGGTAAAACGGGATCCACGCGTACGAAGTCGCGGGCGGCCGCTAGTATCTATAATAAATTTATTCTAATACCTACTTAATTACAACGTTGGTGAGGTTTTAAGTAAGTAGATATAGCAGTCATAACAATAACATTTGTGTCTGGGTTGAGTAAGTATTAGACCTAGCGAGACATACTCATCTACATATCACCTAAAATTAGTGACGTCAATCTAATAAAACGGCACCTTATTTGCATCAAAATACAGTTTTCCACAGAAAAAAGAATGATTTCACTTCTTTTTTTCACGATTTCCATAATTAGGTATACAATGACAGTAAATATTGTTACAATTATATTACTAAGAAACTACAGCTTTTGCTCGCGGCTTCACCCACGTAAAATTTATTTTATCACAGAGCGTCATAAAATATAGCCTATGTTATTCTGGGTTATCTATCTATCTATACTTATAATAAATCTGTAGAGAGGTCAATTCTGTACATGAAATATATTTTCAAAATAACTATTAGGGGGTGATTAGTGATCGATACTGATGCCAAAAATGCAATCAGTAAAATTTTTGTCTGTCTGTCTGTCTGTATGTTCCTTATAGAAACAAAAACTACTCGACGGATTTTAACGAAACTTGGCACAATTATTCTTCATACTCCTGGGCAGGTTAGGACGCTTGAAAGGCATGCAGGTATCTTAGTAAACTTAAAGCTTAGTTACAACAGGATATTGCAAAAGGGTCCGTGGCCGAGTCCCCCAGTGTACGACGCACCCGTGGTCGACACCCCCGGTCAGTTAAATTCGATTTGAAGCAATTTTTAATCAAATGTACTGTCAGGCACAAAAATGTTTATAAACGAATAAATATACATATATTAGGCCAGTAGAATTAAACACAAAAATGAATCTAATAAAATGAAAATAATTCCTACAAAAGTTTTTTGTTTCTTACTACTGCTGGTTTGGGGTTAAAATTTTGCTCCCAGATTGTATAAATAGCGTCAAACATGCATAGTTTAGTATAATAATTCGCTTGTGAAACTTTTTTCGTCGACTGTACTTAGTGCAAAAGCCGAAAAAAATATGATATTAAATTTATTTAAATCGGGGGCGTCCACCACGGGTGCGTCGAACACTTTTAAACAAATTAACCTTACTAAACAAATTGCGACATTATGGTGTTTCGAATAAGTCACTTGATCTGTTGAACTCGTATCTCACAGGCAGAAAACAAAAAGTTTGTATTAACGGAACTGAGTCTTCTGGAGCACCTCTTACTATGGGTGTGCCGCAGGGATCAATATTAGGACCTTTGCTATTTCTAATTTATATTAATGACCTTCCTTACTTTGTAAAAGATCTGTGTGATATTGTGTTATTTGCTGATGACACATCTCTCATTTTCAAAGTTGATAGAGGTAAAGTAAATTTTGACGATATTAATGATACACTCTGACAGGTTCTATATTGGTTCACTGTTAACAACTTATTGTTAAATGCAAATAAAACTAAGTGCATTAAATTTAGCTTACCTAATGTGAGGCAGGTTTCCACGCAATTAATGGTGAAGAATGAACCATTAAATAGCATAAATTCCACAACATTCTTGGGAATCACTTTAGATGCTAAACTTCAGTGGGGTCCTCATATTGAAACTTTGTCAAAAAGGCTCAGTTCGACTGCTTTTGCAGTGAGAAAGATAAGGCAATTAACTGACATTGAAACGGCAAGGCTAGTATATTTTAGCTATTTTCACAGTATAATGTCATACGGCATATTGTTGTGGGGCTCAGCCGCGGACATTGAAACTGTGTTTGTTCTGCAGAAGAGAGCAGTGCGGGCCATTTATAACCTTGGACCCCGATTTTCCTTGAAAGATTTTTTTAAGGAAATTAACATTCTGATAGTAGCTTCACAGTTCATTTATGAAAACCTTTTATATGTTCGCAAAAATATAGAGCAATTCACGAAAAAGAGCGATTTGCATAACTTTAATACAAGAAACAAAAATAAACTTGCCGTTCCAAATTTCAGACTGCATAAGATTAAGAATTCATTTATGGGGAAATGTATTAAATTATTTAATAAATTACCACAAACTGTTGTAGAACTACCCATTCATAAATTCAAAGCACATATTAAAAGTACCTTAATGAAAAAGGGCTACTATAAAGTCGATGATTATTTAAAAGATAAAAATGTTTGGGATGCGTAACTGCCTAGCTCGCATAAATATTTATAACTATGTATTTTGAAAACCTGTAAACCTTTGAAAAAGAGGCTGACAATAGTGTCTGAGTTTCTTGCGCTGCTTCTTTTCAGCACTGGCCCATTTATTGTCCTGAAGCAGTGGTAGGGTTAATACTGGGACGTGTAAAAGTGCTTTTTTAAAGCCTACTTACAAAAATAAATGAGTTTTACTGAGTTTTACTGGGGGACTCGGCCACTTAGTAAACTTAAAGCTTAGTTAGAACAGGATATTGCAAAATTCTCAAGGGAACGGCAGTTAGCGGGAAAAAACATTTGTATGAAAAAATCTAAACCGCGTAAGGTAGATGAAGGGGGTAAAACGGGATCCACACGTACGAAGTCGCGGGCGGCCGCTAGTCTTGAATATTTTTCTAGTTAATGAAGGTAGAACAATCTATTTTATAAACTACCTGCATAATACTTATTTCAAGTACGAAAATACGATCATTACAAGTATTTTTTCGCGTACAAGAAATAATAAAATAAAATAAAATAAATATCCTTATCATCTTAACGATGGCGATCTGCACGCGTTGGTGGTTGAAGCTTTACTGGTGTCGATAACCGTTATTAGCGACTTTCGCCAGTATTCACAAACATTACTATGAGGTCTCACAGTGCGCGTGGACACACAGGGTGACACACAGAGCTCTATTCAACGCTGTGCGTTCGATTGCTGCTTCACTTAAGCAAGCATCGTTTGTGAATACGGGCGTTTGTCTCCCCAGCTGCCTACCTTGGACAACCAGTCAATTTGGAGTAATAAATAATTGTATTTGTTTATTTCAGGCATGGACGGTAAGCGGGGTGCTCCTGAACATGCTAGGGCAGGGCATGGTGCTTAGCTTCCCGTCCTGCCTTCTGCCAGGTCTTAAGGACCCCAGCTCCAGCATCAAGGTCGACCTGGGCATGGCCTCATGGCTGGGTTAGTATCTGTCTCCGTTTCAGCCAAATGACGTCCACTGCTGGACAAAGGCCTTCCCCAAGGTTTTCCACAATGAATTCCGCATCCAGGCTCTTCCCTTAATCTTCTCTTAGTATCTATCTATAAAAGCGAAAGGTCACTGACTGACTGACTGACCTTTGTCACCTGTCATTCGCTTTACAGTGGAGGGAAGTCGAACCTTAATTTCGAACTCCTCCTATGTTATTCTGATTAATTTCGTTGCTGGTCCAATGACAGTTTAACTTTCCCCCCGGACAAACTTGACCTTCATTGGTTGAGTTTTTGTGGCGGTCAAGCTGTAGATCTTGGCTACACAGGAGTTGCAGTGGTGGGTACGAGAGGTGGGAATAGTCCCGTGACTGACTGACTGACTCAGTCACTTATCACAAAATCTCATAAACTACAAGTGCTAGGAGTCTCAAATTTTGCATGGGGGTTCCTTTTAGAACGTAGGTGCTCACTAAGACTAAGGGATTTTTCAAAATTCAACTCCTAAGGGGATAAAACGGGATCCACGCGTACGAATTCGCGGGCGGCCACTAAGTAGTTAATTTATATTTATAGTAGGTAAAGTCAATTCGTGACACCCAGTGTACAAAAAGTAGACAACACAATCATAATCAAATTGGAAATACGTTTTTGGAAAAACTGTTAAAACGAACAAGAGAACCTACGGAGATAACGTGGAATATGGTGGTAAAGCTGGTTCAAATGTGCTATTAGGTACTTGTTCAAGTGTTGTCACCTTAATTTTTTTACCCACATTTTCGCAAATATTTGATTTGATACCTGATCCTGACCCCATTATTTAGCGAACTAAATAGGTGAGTTTTAGTCTCGTAGGCCAAAAAACTGTGAAGGCTAGGCTGTCTGTAATGGACATGATGTTACAGAATAAATAAAAGGTGGAGTTTACTTATGACGGGTTTTCAGGTGGAGACCATGTCTTCACGCTCCATTTCAACCTATAGTGGCTATGTCGACCATAAAGGATTATGTTTATCCGTTAAGTCCGTATGAAAATGAATAGAAATCCTCCCTACCTACTTATAACTTGCAAAGCTCAAGAAGAAACACCTAAATGAGTTTGATAGACAGGGTTTATGATGAGGGCCATAGTGTATCTACAGCCTTGCCTACTTGTTTCATCATCAACAGCCCTTTACAGTCCACTGCTGGACTATGAGCCTCCTCCACTATAGTGGAGGGTTTTGCCATAATCTCCACGCTAGGCAGGCGGGTTGGAGATCGCAGTTTAAAAGATTGATGTTTTTCAGAGAGCGCTGCCGCCCATTCTCTGTTTGATGTGTAGTCCCTAAGTCGCCTCTTACGACACCCGCGGGAAGAGTAGGGGTTGGTGACAAATGTATTCTACTCTGCCGTCACCACACGGCTGCCTACTTGTTTATCTAATAATAATTGAAAAGACAAATAGCATTGCTAAAATTATGAGGAAACCGCTATTTTTTCCACGACAACTAAAACATTACAATTTCAAAAAAGGTGCGACCCTTATTAATTACTTAACTTGTACAATTGAACAATAGACTGGCATTTATCGGGCAATTACACAAATCGTGATTAACTAATCGTGACACCGTTTATCTGCAGTTTCAAACAGATTTGTAACAGGTAAATAAAGCAATAACAACAGTGTACGCGAATTGTTGGATGCCATATAAGTAGGTAAATATAAAAATAACATGAAATTGGCAGGCTGATTAAAAAATCAAATAACCTCGGTTCGTGTTGTTGAAATAGCTGCTTTATCCTGCTATAAAATAATTAAAAAAACACTCACCCGAGTCACCCGTTCTGCACTTCAAAACACTGCCTGAACCGCTGTTCCCCATTTCTTCTTCTGCCTTCAGAATGGAAGAAGTTGTTGAAAAATCAGCCTTGAAAAAATCGATATCACACATTATACACACGCACACAAGACTCACTACAAAGCACAAACCTTTACACACAATATGGCGGTGAACGAGCAAATACGATCCACGGTACCTATGGAAACTTCTACGGTAGAATTTTCCAGAAAGAAGCTGTGACTCCGGAGACGACGTCCGGAGTGAACGACGGTAGTTCGTAGACTAATGTAGAATGCAGCGAAAGGCAGCGGGAGAATATACGAAAAAATGTGGGTGGTTTAGAAAACAAAAAAATACGACTGCCCACATTATGAACAACTTTATTTTTATCTTGGAATTATTTTGTTCATTTCTTCGTTAGAAATTTTAAACTCGATGAAACTAAAGTTTTTTTAGCAAAGGGCTAAAAAAAATCTTAGTCTTTTTTGAAGTTCATTTAGAAACAACAAACTACATACTACTCGTACTTACTTTTTCCAGCATCATCTATAGACTATATTCTGGTTGGCAATATTTATAGTTAGCGTATAGGATATTTTTATATTTTTCAATGGGCATGGCATGGCCCCTGACATGCCATGTATCGAACATGGCATGTCAGAGTTAAGTTGTAAGTACTTACCTAATCATACATTTGCTCCCCATAAGTCAACGTCCACTCATTGTATGTGATGCAATGTTCAAAATATGCAGGTACTTAACTATTCTCCATTATGTAAACGTGACTGGTAGCACCTAAAAGACCGTAAATATTCTCTAAATTATACCTAAAACTGTAAATGAGAGCACGATGACATAGTAGGTAATAAAATTGTTTTATCAAGAGCAATCAACTACGAGTAGGTAAATCTATGCTTCTACAAATAGACGTAAATAGATAGGTAAGTTTTTATAAAATAGCAGTCTCACGGCCGAATACTGAAACGCCATTTAAATATTTGACGGCTTCTCAAATAGTTAAGCAGCTCCTAAACTTACATTTCGCATACTCAAAACAATATCTGAGCAGTTCTCAATTTTTAAGCACCTCTCAAATTAAGTTGCACTCAAACGCCACTCAAATGAATTTTCGCATACTGAAACCGCCTTTTACCCGTGGTCCCCCCAACATGTCCCCCTGGTGGGTCCACGGGTAATTTTTTTTACCCGTTGTCCCACCGTTCTGAACAGTGTTTGCCAGTGGGTCTACGGGTAATTTATTTTAACCATGGTCCCACCGCACTAAGTGGCAAACATTGCTTGTCACCTAGCCTAGGTATCTATATAATATTATAAAAAAATCTATAATTAATATAGAAAATAATTATAGGTAAGTACGGCACCTTATTATCTTTATACTATCTTCACATCACACATGTGGGTTAAAGTCACTCATATCCTACTCGGCGTTTGATATTTCATCCCAGACATAGGTGATATGCAATGTTTGCCATTTAGTGCGGTGGGACTAGAGATGGGTAGTGGGTAAAAACCCATTTCATAGCAGCTATTTTGGTTGTTACTTTGTGCACTAAGTATACGATGCACAGTTGGCTGTTCGATGTGGAAGATATCACCTAGTACACGTTCATAACTTCCCGTTGCGTAGAACCGTAGGGTTATAATAAAAGTATTTGGTCCACTGGTTGTATGGCGTTTGGTGAGGGATTTCAAAGAGTTTCCAAATTATGAATCCAGAAACAACACCGTTTCTTTTGAGACGCGGAACCTCGCTCGGAATTGCATGTCATAATAATAATATTTTTCAATAGCGTTCAGCCTTATTGCGTTCCTGCCATTAGATTTAGGTATTTCCTCGAGGCTCGAAAGAAATGATAACGTTGACACAAACATTATTTACCACTATTCGGGTCGATTTATGTATAAGAATAGGATTTAAGATATACCGCGCAAGCACTCTCAAATTTAACGGCTGCTCAAGACGATTTGACAGTTGTTTGAGTAATGGCCATTCTTAAATTTGTGCCAATTTTTTTTTTAAAAACTAAAGATTTTTTTTGTAGTTTTTGCGATGTGTGTCGAAAGTATAAACCAAAAGCATACTTTTGATGTATATGGACAACCTTAAAGCCCTCGGAAAGGAAACAAAATAGCCTACGTAAACACGGCTGTGACACTGCATGACACGGATGTGACAGTTTTACATTTTTACTGTAAATATTTATATTTATGTTGTTAAATTTATATCATCATAGTTTAAATTGATTAACAATAAAATACACTAAATTCATTTCATCAACAAAGTTAGTTATTTGGTAATATGAACTTTTTTCTGAACATCTAAATATTTAATAAAAATTGAGATGAAAAGTACCATCAGGTAGTTAATATATCCACTAGATAATAAAAAAATAGACTCTTTATTATTGGCACTATTTGATCATGCTTCCGATATGCCACCTACATGGTTTCGATATGATATGCTTAACAAATTAGTAAATCTTAAACACAGTAATTGAGTATCAAATGAGATTTCTGTAAGATTCGCATAACAGTTAATTTTGACAACTTAAACATGTTTCATAGTCACTTTACCACTAAAAATATGGTTAATAGCAATTCCTTTCAGAACAAAACCGACCACCTCTGCAGGGCCTTTACCGGGAGCTGTCTCAGTAAAATTTGATATTACTGCAGAAATGAGAAAGTGCAATCATTTTTCCTTCGTGGCATCTAGAAAATCATACTAGCGAAAAATCAGTACCTACACTTACTAAAATGCTACTCCTAAAAATTACACAATACACAAAAGAATTTAGCAGAACAACAAAAACTATTAAAATAATAAAAATAGAATGTCACAACCACGCGTTTTAATGTCACGACCATGTACTTAAATAGTTTGCGGTGGTGACACATTTTTAATACCATGGCCGTGACAATTTGAAACGTGTCCGATATATCCAAAAAACTATCTGTGAATTAGCAGATCTTGTGTAATTATCTGAAACTATGCTGCATGAGGTACATAATTATATTTTAAACAATAGCATGACATTGATACCTACCTTTAAAAACCGTACACGGGATGGACGTGTTATATGGTTGTCCCTTTTTTCAAATAAATAGGAAATATTTTTTGCGGCTCACTCACTACGTTCAGCCATTTGCAAATCTAATAAGATAATAATGTTACTGTTCTAAAAAAACTTAGCAAGGGATGTCAATATCAAAGATAGTTTTTTACCGAGTTACGCATATTTAAAGTGGCGCACTTGGTTGTGACACAAAAACTGCTCACACAATGTTTGGTGTTCAAAATCAAAAATGGTCATTATTATTGATATATATTTTTAACAGTCTTATAAAACATATATTAATCTTGCATAATTACTGTAATATTTATCAAAATAACTTAACATCTATTCAGAAAAAAATATTTTATGTCCAAATCCGGGAATCTCACACTACACGGTCCGTGACATTTTGGACTTGTAATTTTTTTTAAATATTCTTCTAATAGTTTTATGATAAAAATTATATTCGGCCTAGTTAATAGAGGTATTTTACTAAGTAAATTAATATACAGTGCACTGATTTTCTTAAAAAACATATGCTATTCTTACATCTCACACAAAAATGCGTAAGAATAAGAATGGCCCTAATGCTTAGCGTTGAATGGCGTTTCAGTATGCGAAATTTTTTTTTTTTTGAAGAGATAAATGTTATTTATTCTGCTTTAACGGCCAACTAAAAAAACTGTGTACTTGCAGTACTTGTTAATCAATTGGCTATCAGCAATGATATTATACAGTGTGAGTCACGTTAAAGTGTACATATGAAAATAGATGAAACTAGACCTATTTTTATCGACAAAAAAGAGGTCAAAATATTTTTGAGATTTTTTTAAATTTTTTTATAGATTTTTTTTTCTTCCTATTACTTATTGTAAAGAAAACGTAATAACTTTTAAACTAAGCGGTATATCTTGATAAAATAAAAACAGTAATAACAGGCAATATTAAAAAAATACATAAAAAACACAAAAAAGGCCAACAAATAATAAAAAATGATACTTTTGAAAAAAATCTGCTTTTAAATTCGTGTTTTTTTGGTTATTTGATAAATTTCTCCAAAAAATGCCCCTATAACCGGTAGTTTTTATTACTTTGTATTATTTTCTATCGTATTACCTTCGTAAAACCAAAAATCGCATGTCTCTATCCCTATCACAACGTTTGCAATGATCGTTTGAACTAAGCCTCTCCGGGCGCGCCATTCAAAGCTTCGTTAACAACGAAACTGAAAATGGCTCTAGATTTGTAATTTTGATAAAGACAAGTAAGATTTCAAATAAAAACAAAAGATTTCGAAGTAAAATAAGCATTTTAGTTAAAATTAAAATTGTCTCTACCTGTAGCGGAGAAAAATGTTGTGGCAGGCCTTTGTTCAAACGATCATAGCAAATGTTGTGATAGGGCTAGAGACATGCGATTTTTGGTTTTACAAAGATAATACGATAGAGAATAATAGAAAGTAATAAAAACCACCTGTTATAGGGGCATTTTTTGGAGGAATTTATCAAATAACCAAAAAAACACGAATTTAAAAGCCGATTTTTTTCAAAAAGTATCATTTTTTATTATTTGTTGGCATTTTTGTATACTTTATGTATTTTTTTAGTATCGCCTGTTAAGTAGCATTATTACTGTTTTTATTTTATCAGGATATACCGTTTAGTTTAAAAGTTATTACGTTTTCTTTACAATAAGTAATTTGAAGAAAAAAAATTCTATAAAAAATTAAAAAAAAATCTCAAAAATTTTTTGACCTCTTTTTTGTCGATGAAAATAGATCTAGTTTCATTTATTTTCATATGTACACTTTAACGTGACTCANTAATATCATTGGCTATCAGTTACAAACTTATTACAGAACGTTCTGTTTGTATTGTTACAGCTTCCTCGGTGGGCCTATCCAGCTTGCTGGGTTTCTTCATCTCCTCAGTGCTCATGGAGTGGTACGGCAGGAAACTGGCTCATGCTCTAGTCATCCTACCCGGCACCACCGGCTGGATCATCATATACTTCTCCAAGGACATCACAACCCTCATGATAGGCAGAATCCTCGGAGGCATCACAGCAGGAGCTACCGTCACTTTAGGCGCAGTTGTAATCGGGGAATTCACCAGCCCAGAACACAGAGGCATGTTTCTAAATCTGAAGACAGCTGCCGTATGTTTGGGCAACACTACGATGCACATTCTCGGCCATTTCTTCCATTGGAAAACCGTAGCCCTCTGTGGACTAGTGCCTCATATTGTGGCTTTATGCATCGTCTCTACGTGGCCTGAGAGTCCTGCGTGGTTAGCATCTAAAAAGAGATACGACGAAAGCGAAAAAGCATTCATTTGGTTAAGAGGCAGTAGCCAGCTACAGGAGCACTACCAGCTCGTAAAATCACAAAAAGAGCGATTAACAACCACAAATAATTCTTTCAAGGGGAAATTTTCAGATTTCATGCACAAATTGGGAAGGAGAGACTTTTTAAAACCAGCATTCATTATTTTCTTGGGTGCTATCCTTCTGGAGGCATGTGGAAGGCACACGTTCCCTGCGTACGCTTCGACCATCATCAATGAAATCAATGGCAGCAAGCAGCAGTCGTTCCTCTACACCATAAGCATTGATTTGATCGTGACCGCTAGTGCCATGTCCTCTTCGGTGCTGGTCAAGATGATGAAGCGGAGGACTCTTCTCTTCTCAACAGGAATATCCGCTGTCTTGATGCTGTTCAGCGTTTGTACGTACCAGTATTTGGTAGGCAGATCCGTTATCCCAATGGAACACACGTGGATTCCGTTGACAATGCTGGTGGTCTACTTTATATTAGCAAATCTGGGGTGTACTCCAATACCGTTTGTGATATTGGGAGAAATATTCCCGTTAGCACATAGAGGGGCGGGGGTGGCCGCGTCTGGGGTTAGTATGTCTATAGGCTTGTATGTGTTCCTAGAAGTCACGCCATACTTGCTGGCCAGCGTCGGGTTCCACGGAACCTTCGCCGTGTTTGGTGGAGCCATGTGCGTCGCCATGTTAGGCCTGTACTTCATTCTGCCAGAGACCAAAGACAGGACACTGCAGGAGATCGAAGATTGTTTGAACTATGGCAAATATAGAGATGAAAAGACTGACCCTGAAGATGAGGAGGTTAGGCTCAAAATGATGAGCTAATGAGGACTGATTTTCATTGTAATGTTGGAAAACAAGGCCAGTATAGGTAATATTAGTGTTAGTATTTTTACGTATAAATCGGATTGGTTGGACTTTTGTTTGCATCATAATACCAACGTGTGCCTTTGTTGTTTAGCTGTCACTTTATTATGTTCCTAACTGTGCATTGTGTACTATATTTAGTGCGAATACACACTACTACAAACCTACCTACCTACACACTCAAAAAACGTATTGACCTCGACTCGACGACTAGAGAAAAATCATTTAAGTATGATAATTATGTTGAATGGCTTATTTCTACAGAATCTCTGCATTGCTCTGAAAACACTAAACTCCCATGTACCTATACTGTTTCAGAATAACCTTCAAACAAGGTGATAGAAGTGATAGAAGTCGTGGACTTGTAGGTTTATCTGTGAGTATGACTTTCAGTCGAGTTTTCAGAATTCCCAGAAACTTATTCTGAAATCTGAAATCCTGTATTATGTAAAATCGAAACATAGTTCCTAAGGATTATTTAAGAGTTATTATAAGTTAAGTCAGTGATAGTAAGTAGGCTATTATTTTATAAAAGCCGTATTATATTTGTATCATAGTTTATAAATAAATTGTGTTATAAATGAATAGGTATGTTTTTGCTTTCCTTCCTTTAATTAGTCATGATTGTAAAGGTAAGTAGGCTATTATTTTATAAAAGCCGTATTATATTTGTATCATGGTTTATAAATAAATTGTGTTATAAATGAATACGTATGTTTTTGCTTTTCTTCCTTTAATTAGTCATGATTGTAAAGGTAGCTATGTTTACAGAATGTCCTAAGTTCGCCTTTAGCATTATAGACCTAGCAATAAGTAAGCCGCTTGGTAGCTATGCTACTGGATGTGAATGATACAAACAGGTTCATTCAGCACGATTCCCTTTTATCGTGCGTAAAAATAACAAAATAAAGAATCTTTTGTGTGTGTAAATATCGCTGAACACTTGCGAACAATATTTGCCACCATTAGTACCCATTCGTCATCCATTGATGAACATTGTGTGGCTGTTTGTTTTTATTAATTAATGCATTGTGTTAATTGTTATAATAATGACACATTGTGCAGTGAAACGACTGATAAAAAACGCCGGCATTAAGAAAACTTCGCTTTTTAGACAAGTAAGTAATGATTTTTTTTTTCAAACGGCTTTAATTTTAATAAAACGGAAATAATGATAAGGGACACTAGTCATTTACATCTAGAAACATCGCATAGTTTTTTATTTATTGCTATTTTATTGTGAAAATATAAAAACATTTTTGTAGCCTTTGCAGTACCTATTTTGCAAGTATTTACCGTTATAAAAAATATTTTCGAATGTTAAGTTATTGAGTTGCACCACCTACCTGTAACAGTAACAATAACAATATACCGGTGTTTTTTGTATGAAGTTTGACAGATTTTAAACGTTTGTCAGTTGGTGCAACCCAGCCTTAAATCCTTAATGCCCAGAGAGAGAAGACTCCCTCAATCCAAAAATCGTAGGTTCGATTCCTAGAATGAGCAGAGATGAGCCTAATCACCACAATGCCTAAACTAAAGCCGTTTAGTTTAGCTACGAGTAAAGATTTTCATCAATTAAAAATAAATCCGTCATGAACAAAATATAGACTTCTTGGCGGGAATGTGAAGCGTCTGTTAGCGGTTTTGTTTTATTTTCTAAGTTCGTGTTTGGACGACCATTAATGTGTAATAATGGTGGATTATTAACCATTAAGTATTCGTGAACGTGCATGAATGTGGGCAAGTGAAACAAAACAGTGCAGCGTGATTCTTCAGATTCTCTCAAGTAAGTAGTCCTTAAGAAGTCTCAATAAAGCAGCACAACTTTACTGAGACTCAAAGGGTGGGCAGGGGTATCATCTATCATCCTTCATTATATCATTAACCCAAGTCCCATCCCACTTGGTCCCATTTTGTAACTCGTCTCACTTAATACTTGAAAATGGCACAAATCAAGTCGACCTCGACGTGTATTGCCAACATCAAAAAAGAATAAGAAGAAGAAGAACAAAAATGGCAATACTCCAAAAATAATTTGCTACAAATTAATACACGTGCGAATCTACAATCTACACGTGATTTTTTGTGCCGAATCGATTTTGTGGCAATTCAACAATAACAATAACCAGGCCCGCCGCTAGCTGTTTCGTCGCCCTCGTGCAAAACCGATTATGCCGCCCTACGACTACCTACTTACTGAGTTTTGTTAAAAAAAAAAAAGCCTAAGTTAATTGATGTTTTCTCATTTTTCATGCTATGACATATTTTCTTAAACTTAATAGTCCAATCAATAGGTTTTTTTTTTCCTGCAAAAGGTGGAAAGTAAAATGTTTAAGGGCCGAACATTAATTATTTTTTACATTTAACGCTTCAATAGTTGACTATATGAGAAAAATGTCTTTGAGAAGTATAAAGACGATAAAATTTCAATTGTTTAAGTATTTTTATTTATTCTATACGTCGCGTAGATAAAAAGTTATATAAGGGAGAAAATTTTCATTTGCACAAAAATCATTGTAGTAGCCTCTTCATCCCTCTTGGGTAGAGGGACGGTGCACACGAGTGTGCGATAGCAGGGAGGGTTAGTGGTGGACGTTTCGTGTGCTACTCCCGCTCTAACCGCACTGGAGCAATGAAGGGTGCGGGAGCGACCCGCTCAATTTCCTCTCCCTTACCTAGATGGGCGCTTACCCGTTTTGATCGGGAGATGGCCAAGGAAGCTGCATTCGTATGCGATAGTCACGGACGGTGATATGGCGGCCAACCAATTAAGAAAATCGTTAATTGAGGTGTGTGATGTTAACATGTCTCGATCACGTTACCGCACACCTTGTCGTGCTGTCTACTGGTGGTCGGCTGAACTAGCTGAGCTGCGTTCACTCGTAGCTGGCGTAAACGTTCACGAGACCCGTCATATGGCTTGCCTTTATGAAATCGGAGCCGCCAAAGACCGAGCGAGGGCAGAAATGCTCGCAAGTTTGGACGACGATACTAACTGTGGGAGATTTTATGCTAGAAACCAACTACAGCCTATTGGTCCTCCACTGACTAAAGAGCAGGCTCTGCTAGACAAGGTTTTGCGAGCGCTCTTCCCGAACCAGTTTGCCTTTTTCGCTCTACCATCCATGATAGATTCCCGCAGTGTCAACTGATATGACTGGGTACAAAGCGGCGCCCTCCTCCCGGGCGTAGATGTTACACTCGTCACAGCCTGAGGGAGGGATTGTATGGACGCGGCCAATTTGGCGACCACTGCCAGCACTTAAATTGCCAAGCGCATCTGGAGACTGGAGTGTTTCTCCTAACGCCCATATTATTTTACCGTGGATGGAGTCAGGATAGAAGTTAAGGTTCAGAGCAATTGTCTGGGCCTGATAGTGGATAGCCGGTGTCAGTTTGACCCTCATTTTGCCATACTGTCATAGCGCCTGCTTAAGGCCGCGGATGCTTTATCGTGGGGGGGTTCGAGAGCCAAATGGCGGCTCTTTTACGCCAGCATTTTGAAAAGCATTGCGCTTTACGGGGCTCTCATATAGGTTGACATCCTCGACAGAAGTCGAGAGGCCCGTTCGAGAAGAGAGGTGGTCCGCCGCGTGGCTCGGAGGACGAGGCGCACGATACCCTCGCAGTGTGTGCGGCGTGGGCTCGAGGCGCTGGGCCGGGACCTCGTGCTGGCTAGCATAGTCAAAGCAATGCTGGACAGTAATGAGGCCTGGGCGGCCATAGCCTCCTTCTGCGAAAACGTCATGTTGCAAAATGAGTCCTCGGAGCGAGAGCACGAGGTCGAACCAAACGCGCCCTCACTCCGTCGGCGGCGGAGGGGTCAGAGGAGGGGACATTATGATCGCTTCCTGATTCCCCTCCACGATGATGGTCAGCGGCTGATAGTGTGGGGGTGCCCCCGCCTGCATTGCACACACCATCTCCTCCGTCAGACGGGAACAGCTGCGTGATCCCAGCTGTTCTGAGCGCCCTGAGCTTCTCTTCTCGGAAGCTCTGAGCGCCTGATTTGCCGCCCCCACGGGCGTGCCGCCCGCGTGCGGCGCACGCCTTGCACGCCCGCTTGCGGCGGCCCTGACAATAACCGTTTCAGGTGTGGCACATGTCAGCCGTATTCTTCAGTATCCTGAGCACGGGGATGCTGCAATATCCCACACCACAAACGTTACGCACAGAAGACAACAACAACACATCTCTATTAGGTTTGTTTTCAAGTAATTGTAGAGATTTAACAAAAAAACACATTAACCCTTAAATGCATGATTTTTAATTTAGTTATGAAAAAAATATTTCAATTAGATTTTTAGTCACAGATAGGGGGAAAAATAATAAAAAAAATCTAAGTACCTACGAAAAAAAAGTATATTTTTGAAAATTTACAGTATGTAGCCAAATGTCTACACCATGCGTTTATGCCATAAAATTGTTCGATATTAATAGTTCTATGGTTTGCTTATTTGGCTTTTCTTTTCAGCATGTTTGGCTCGCTATCTGAAAAGGAAATTGAGACAGCTCTTGCTGCTTTAAATGATGGTGCAGTCTCAGAAGATGATGAAAATTTAGATGAGGATAACATCGATTATTACCCAAACGTACTGGATTTATTGCATGAGTCCATAGATCATAATCTACCCTTGGAACATAACGAAGACCCTCCCATAGTATGATGAGGAGCACATATTAGATGGTGTTTCCTTAGCGGAACCTGTGGCGGGTACCTACTTCATCTGCACAATCAAGTTCAGGTATTCCAGGAATTGCAGCTTTGAGGTCACGTAGCCGGGAGATGATTTGGAAAAAAATAAATTTACCACCATGGGACGATGATCGCATTGCTTTTTTAGGGGATTCGGAACTGCCCACAGAAATATCTGACCTGGAGGAGCCATTTCAGTTCTTTGTCAAGTTCATAAACGATGACATTGTTTCGAAAATTGTAGACGAAACGAATTTATGCATTACTCAAAAAGGGTTTAGTTCAAATAATCGTGTCAGTTCTATTGAGATTCGTCTCAATAGAACACGAAACACCATCTGATTTAATATTATGCTCCTCTTCATAAACTACTAGGGAGGATCTTCGTTGTGTTCCAAGGGTAGATTATGATCTATGGACTCCTCATCCAGATCATGCAATAAATCCCGTACGTTTGGGTAATTAATGATCGATGTTATCATCATCTAAATTTTCATCATCTTCTGAGACTGCTCCATCATTTAAAGCAGCAAGAGCTGTCTCAATTTCCTTTTCAATTAGCGAGCCAAACATGCTGAAAAGAAAAGCCAAATAAGCAAACCATAGAACAATTCCTATCGAACAATTTTATGGTATAAACGCATGGTGTAGACATTTGGCTACATACACAAAAACCAAGTCGAAGGTACATTCGGGATAGATTACCAAAAAAATAAGTTATAATAATGAATTCTTACATTGTTTCTAACACGTATGTATTTTTTTCCAATCGTTTTAGCAATTAATTCTCACTGAATCCGAAATCCAAATACCACAAATTTTAACACTACCAATTTTTTCTCCTTCGCGATCGCTACGTCAAATATCGGTTAATTTTTTTTCAAATCTACCTCCATTTGCGGTTTTTTTATTTTTATTTGGATGTTTTCTATGATATTAGCGTACATTCAGAAACGCTTGTAAAATGTGTTACTTGCTATAATTAAAAAAGTACTTCGTAGACATATGGCAACACTATGCATTTAAGGGTTAAAGCCGTTTGCAAACTAAGATCTAAGTTACAAACAGGTCAAGTTAAGTGCGCACCTGGCTGGAATGCGCCTCGTCCTCGCACATCTCCTCACGTTCGCTCCGGCGTGTCCGTCCGTGGGTGGATACCAGAGCGTCGAGGTAACGTCACGGCAGCTAGGTGCTCAGTTTACTTGACAGTTGACAGGGTTGTGACCTAAGCTAGTGTTTGCAGTCTACACACAACTAAGGAAAACTGCCTCAGCTATGCGAGCTAAGCTAAGCTAATTTAGCTTAGCTCTTGGTATGCAACCGGCTTAATTTTGGGCCTTCCTTTTTGTCCAGTTATGGGCATCATTTGGCTAAAGATCTGCCGGGCTAGGATGCGGGCCGTGATAAAATCTTATCGATGATTTTTAATGACAAACGTATGGGCTTATCGCGTTAAATCGATAAAATGGCGCGATAAAAGCTTATCGCGGCGCGCATTCTAGGCCTACTAGTCTACTATATAATCTTTGGCTTACGTAGGATAATCACGCTGCTGGTTGCACGCGTGCTAAAATCCGCATTACAGGAAAAGGCACTAATAACCGTCTTCACAATCAACTCCAAATTTTTAAGAAACCCCTTTGAAAACAAAATCCGGTTATGTGTTACCATACGGCTCACTTTAAAATTAGGGATTGATGGTCAAGACATCTTAAAGTAACACAAGGAAATTAATTTGTTTACTTACAGGGTACTATAGTATAGCCACCGTAGCCGGCACTGTTGCTTCATCCATCTTGATGGACCAAGTGGGCAGAAGACTGACCTTCATCCTGGGAACATTGCCGGGGATCTTCAGCTGCATCACGATCGCCTTCCCAGATGCCTCCAGGGTCAACACCATAAGAGCCACACTGAGTGGGCTTTTGTCAGGGTACACAGTTATCTTAGGTATGTATTTATCATCTTTGACTTTAATCTCTTATAGAATCTTTTCGCGACCATCGATTTACCATCTTGGCCTTCACTGGTTATGTTTTTATTGGTGGTCAAGCTGTAGATCCTGACTACACAGCTCCAGCCTAAAACATCATGCACTGATTCAAGCATTTTGGGCGTCATTTCCTGCAAATTTCAACCTTTATCCTATTTTTAGGGACAGTCATAATCAGCGAATACACATCACCGAAATACAGAGCAGTGTTCCTGAATCTCATAACAGCATCTATGAACATTGGAACCACGGTGGGTCATATCCTGCGCCCAAATTACCAGATTTTGTGGACTGCTTTATTCCTGAAAATATTATCCTTTGGGATCTGTATGACTTGGCCAGAAAGCCCGTACTGGCTGGCGTTGAAAGATCATGAAGAAAATACGACAGGAGATCATAATTTGATCTTCATTGAGGGTAGAAAAGAGCTGAAGACCACTTCAAAGAACGCTTTGATGAAGATACGAAACAACTTAACTATTGGAATGGTAGTGAACATAATAAAGAAGTATTCCAGCAAAGAATTCCTAAGACCGATAACTGTAGTCGTTTTTGGGATAATCCTCATGGAATCATCAGGGAAGAATTGGGCACCAGCATCATTGATAGAAACGACGACAATGTTAAAAGTAAACTACAATACACATCAAATAAATTCTAGCATTATAATCTCTGTCATGTCAATAGTCGCATTGTTTTTTGTTCCCATTTTAGGACATAGAACTCAATTGTTGATTACAGGGTGCCTTTCCGCTGCTACTTTACTGCTAACTAGTGTATGTGTGTTTTTAATGAATAACAATTATGTTGGCGTTAAAAACACATGGTTAAGTTCATTATTTATTTTGCAGTTAATGTTTTCTAACTCAGGAAGCACATCGATCCCTTTAGCATTGATAGGGGAGGTTTTCCATATGCATTTTAAAGCAGCTGGGACTTTATTATCAGGGGTGTTAATATCTGTTTCTTCATTATTAGTAATAAAATCTACTCCATATTTATTATCAGTGGTACACTTGGAGGGAGTTTTAATAATATTCGCGACAATAATGATAGTTTCGCTTTTAGTGATGTACGTAATTTTACCTGAGACTAAAAATAAAACGTTGTCAGAGATAGAAAACTGTTTTAGCAATTGTTCTAATGAAAATCAAAGATATGATCGAGAATTACAGTTTATCGTAAATAGAAAGGCTAAAATTCCTTTTTTATAACGTCAACTGAACCTGTGTAACCTAGTTTTTAGTTTTTTTATATAATTTGCATTATTAAACAAATTGAATGTTGTTACGTATTAATTAGTAAGCAAAGTAAATAAAGCAGTATTTTTATGCATTGTATAAGTAAAATATAATGTTACATTAACATAGTAGATAAGATGCTTTTTTATAGATGTGTTTTTGTACTTTTAAAACAATTTACGGCTGTTTTGTTTGTTTTGTCTTTATTTTTTAATTCTTTGTACTTTTCAGAGTATTTTCTGTTCGCAAATACTGGCAACAAAACAATAAAATAAGTTTTACGCGTATTATACACTGATTAAAAATACATTTAACCTAGTGTTCATCACGCGTGTATCTTTTTATAAGTTCACTTATTATTATTTGGATTAATATTTGCGCCAATAGAATTCTATATTACATTAAGACCCAGTAAGAACGCTAAACTTAATGACCCCTAAAGAGTTTCAAAATCAAAAATATTTATTCAGTTTAGACCACAAGTGGCACTTATGAACGTCAATAGAAAATAAAAATACTGGATGCTTTCCGAGTCAGAAGTCAAAGTAAACGTAACCCGCATCATAATATGGCAACATTGTTAGCCTTTATACATTTTGTATTGATGACATCTGACCGTGCACGAGCAAAGATCGCAAACCGCTTCGTTGACAGATTGCCTTGTCACGACGGATGAAAGATTGTAATTGCCAGGACCGACAATGTTGTTCATACGTGATGCGGGCGTGTGCGTTACCTCAGCGACATGGTGACGCTAATCAAGATGTGCATATGTGGAAAAATTAGTGCCTTATATCCTGTAAATGTGCCGAGAATTTAGAATTTGTGCCCAATAAAGTTTAGGAGTAATTGGAGAAAATAAGATTCCGCTGCAGTAATGCTTGAAAACATTACCGCAGCGGCATGATTTTTACCTATTAGGCTTAGCTACATTTAAAGTATCTCAAAAGGTAGCTTATATTTTGTGCCTTTCCATGGTCAAGCAGCGACATTTGTGCCCCTGTAGTTTTTCAGTAATTTCAAATGCCGCTGCGGTAACGTTTCGCAGATTGACACTAATAAGATGCTAACTGCTAACAAAAATCGTTTCTGTCCATCAAATCGTTCCGAAGATATGGAAATGAGAACTGAGGGTTTTAGATATCTGGTAAAAGAAATAAAACGCACATAGAGTGGATACGTCTAGAAAACTCTTTCCTCAGTCACAACAATATACATTCACCATAATTCATAATTTACAATATATTTATTACGCGAACTCCCATACATGCGCGGGCGTCGCACCGTCAATACGTTGCTAAGTGTATTATGATTGCTATTGACATTGCATTAGTGCCTTTTTCCTGTGACGCGGATTTCGGCACGCATGCGTATTTAATCAGCATTTCATTATTTCATACATGTTTTTCCTATTACGCGGGCTACATGATACCAACACTATTCGATATTGACTGCGTTAAAAACTTAATGAAGATTTTAGTTCTTCGAAGTCTCCGCTAAGGGCGCCGTACAATCTGTCATACATTTAATGTCACTTTTTTACGCCGTCGATAGCGAATACTTTTGAAGTAAACTCACACTAGGCCCCCAGATCCGCACGAGTGCCGAAATCATAGGAAAAAGGCTCTCAGTGTCCAATATTTTATTGCAAGAATTTCATATAAAAATGTGATATTAAGTGCATACTATAAACGAACGTATTGACGACCAGACGTCCTTTACCTTCAATATTGAAGGCTTTATTTAATATAGACTTTACTTAAGCAAAAAGGCGCTTGGTTTTAAATCTACGTAGTGCTAGAAAACAATGGTTGTTAATAAATTAATAACACTTGTTGATATCGTTGTTTTCGGTTTAGGAGCAGCATTTTGGTGTTCAATGTAATTTTTAACTTAATGAAACTAAATTATCTATAATTTGAAGGTTCATAATGTTGGAATCGTATTCACTACGAGAATAAATGCCTCACAACATGTTTCCGGAAATTCCATATCTGTATTTTGATGAATGGGAGTCTGTATTTGGAGACTTAGAATATGTTGTGAGAGGAAATACAGCAGAATCCTACTATAAACAAATAACCTAAGTATGGGAATGTTCCGGAAGCAATATAGTTGTCCAACACTGAATAATAGCGTAGTTGCAAGAAGTGAAAAGCACCCGTATTTCCGCGAGATTGGTCGTACATCGCGCACTTGGAATAATTACCGTACCGGCACCGGCTCAAGGCTCAAGGTCACCCAAAGGGCGATGGAGCGGGCTATACTCGGAGTTTCCCTGCGTGATCGAATCAGAAATAAGGAGATCCGCAGGAGAACCAAAGTAACCGACATAGCTCGCAGAATTGCTAAATAAATAAATCTTTGGACAATTTCACACAGCGCCAGCTAGCCCCAAAGTAAGCAACTTAATGCTTGTGTTATGGGTGCTAGCTTAACGGATATACTACTTATATACTTTTTTTTTTTAAATACATAAATATATTATTATACATAGTCACACCCAGACCCGTCACAGAAATTAAAATTCATCATTTCAATTTCTGCCCGGCCGGGAATCGAACCCGGGACCTCTCGGCATAGTAGTCCGTTCTGAACCACTACACCAAACGGCCGGCTAAAATCAAGTGGCAGTGGGCGGGGCATTCGTAGAGACGATGGCCGTTGGGGCAGGAAAGTCCTCGAGTGGCGACCACGGGCTGGAAGACGTAGCATGGGCAGGCCTCCTACTAGGTGGACCGAAGATCTGGTAAAGGTCGCGGGAAGAGCCTGGATGCGGGCAGCGCAGGACCGTTCATTATGGAAAACCTTGGGGGAGGCCTTTGTCCAGCAGTGGACGTCATTTGGCTGAAACGACGACCGGCACTGGCAAACGGTATTCAAGACGGCTTCGATAGGAATCGGTCAGAACTGCATGGAGAGACTAAAGGGGGCAGAAAAGTACTCCACCATGGAAGTTCTCGATGCGAATGCTGCTAATCCATGAAGAGTTGTGGGACTGCGTAGAAGCGGTGGCCAACGAAGACAACAAGAAGAAGGATGATAAGGTCTTAGCGCGCATCGCGCAGTCCGTGGCGCCGAGTATAATGAGCAAGTTTCCATTTTTTTTTCTTTTAATAAAACTTGAAAATATAAGTAAAAAGAAAGTATCTTCGAGCCGTGTGGTGACGGCAGAGTAGAATACATTTGTCACCAACCCCTACTCTTCCCGCGGGTGTCGTAAGAGGCGACTTAGGTACTACACATCAAACAGAGAATGGGCAGCGGCGCTCTCTGAAAAACATCAATCTTTTAAACTGCGATCTCCAACCCGCCTGCCAAGCGTGGAGATTATGGCAAAACCCTCCACTATAGTGGAGGAGGCTCATAGTCCAGCAGTGGACTGTAAAGGGCTGTTGATGATGATGATGATCTTCCTGCACATTTATGTACAATTTAATGCTGTTGAAACATTGTTAAACAAATAAAATAAAATAAAATAAATAAATAAAACTAATAACAATAATTGTGAAAGAATCATGAAAATATCTCTACAAATACAAAAGTTACAGGGCCCTAAAGTTGCGCATAGCAAAATTCGCGCCATTTTGATTCGAAGTAGTCACGAACAGTCATTCGAAGTAAAAACAGTAAATCACCCCTGGTCCAGTGCTGTTGACGGACCATTTTTTTTTAAATCTAGTAGTTTTTAAATTTTTAGCCAGGATCACTCAAGATTATTTCTTAGTAAAATTGTGTAACGTTTTTTGACATATCCAAGACCTGACCATATTTAAAAAGAAAAAGAAGACTGACATTATAGTGTTATTCTCGACAATGCGTTAGGGGTGGTAAGCATTGTGATTGACTATATTTTAATCCCATTCAGTGAAATCTAATGTTTTCAAAATCACGAAACTTGTCCATTCCGCATAGGTATACGCACTGCCAAAAGTGCCCACGAAGCGTGGACAATACTACAGAAAACGTATGAGAGACGTGGACTGAGCAGGAGATTGGGTTTGCTGCGGAGTCTGTTTAATAAATTATTATCTGATTGTAGCTCAATGGAAGTTTACCTGAACAAAATAAAAGAAATTTCACATCAACTAGGTGAAATTGAATCGCCGCTGGACGACGAACTCGATGCGGTGATCATACTGAGTGGATGGCGATTGAGCTTTCAATTGAATTCAATTGAAAATTCCAAGCTATCTAAGGAAGCCATCTCAGCTAAATTACTTCAGGAAACCCAAAGACGGGAAGAGAAAACTGAAGAAACAGCACTGATTATACAGAAGAACCCAAAGTGGACACATGCAGCGGAAAAAAGGTGTCCAAAAGGAGTTCAACGTCCAAAGAGCAGACCTCCGAGAACGAGCCAACGATCCAAACACCTACGACATTGATAGGAGAGCGCTACTGTTAATAATGGATTATTAATTCCGGTTTTCGCCACGTTGGACAACAGGACAATCCGATCAAGTTAACTGCGCACCAGGCCGTGACGTCACATCAACGCTCTAGTACTGACGGGGCGAGCGCGGAGACGTGTGCGTAAAGCTTCAACCAAACCAACGCGTGCAGATCGCCATCGCCGACGCGATCATAGGCTAATGACAGATCGCGCGTCCTGTTATTGGCCTATGATCGCGTCGGCGATGGCGATATGCACTCGTTGGTTTGGTTGAAGCTTAAGTGGGAGGGTAAGTCGCATTCCAGCGAGGTGAGCAGTAAGCTCGATCGGTTTGTTTGTAATTATGACATTGACAGGAGGGCGCTACTATCAATACAGCCCCCTAGACAAAACGCACTTTTTGATCGAATCGAAAATCGAATCCGTCAAAACTCCAACCAAAATAGGGGCTTTTCGACCACTTTTCGACTGGTTTGCGATTATAATTTGCACTTTGTCTAGACCCACAGGGTTATGAGTTCGGATTTTTTTGCCATTTGACGTTTCAGAATCGTTTATATCGTCGTTTATCGCTTAATGTCAACTTGACACGTATGACATCGACTTTTTCATAGACATAGGCGTTGTCGGGAGACATTTAGTCCCCTAGTGAATACGGAGCTTTAAAGCAGATTGTAAAATGTAATGTTAAACGACAAGCACAAAATGCAAAATGCTGGTCTTAAACCGAAAACGAAAACAATTTGTGGTTACTCATTGATAAACAGTTGTCGAATGACGTCCATGTCTTAGCTTAGCCGAAGGAGTGTAAAAATAATTCAACCCCTTCACCAGTAGGCCTAGGATGAGCGCCGCGATAAGCGTTTATCACGCCATCTTATCGATTTACGCGATAAGTCCATACATTTGTCTTCTAAAATCATCGATAAAATTTTATCACGGCGCGCATCCTAGCCCGGCAGGACTAAACGCTACAAAATTTAAACAATTGGAGTAGAATAAAAATATTTTTGCTACAACTGACCAATACACCCAATGGATTTGAATCTTATTGTAAAAATATAGAGCTCTAAATTCATTGAGGATTAACGTTCTGTTCATACAACTGTTTTACAAAAAGATCATGATATGAAATGATACAAAAATAGAGCGCACTCTACACGTAGAAACCTTATCTAAATAATTTGTGATTTTCACATCGAAAACTCACCCTGTATAGATATGAGAAATCATATTATTTAGGTGGGGCAGAAGCAAAACTGTTTATTATAAATTCCTATAGATTTTTTACCTTTGAGGTTAAATACTTATGAATATCGAAAATAAGATTTTTTAAACCAAAATGTAATAATATCTAATAGTATTGTCAAATATGATATACGAATTTATTTGATGAATTTAAAGCTAATGTGTATTACATTCTACTTAATGTAGGGAAATAAATTGTCAAATAAAAAACTTTTTAAGTAGTCCAACAAATCACATCAAAATTATATTTTTGTCAAGTTAACTTGATTTCTTTATTTGCTATTTTTATTATATGTCAGATATATTTTGCACCTGCCCCAATACAACAAATTAACAGCAAGAAACTCATACTTACGTACACTAATACTAAAAAAACATAACAAACCATGTGAAAGCACAACACATCCAACCTATATATTTACCGCTATTTAATATTTACACATATATGATTCGGTGGTGAGTTTTATGATCAGAAAGTATTAAAAAATCATTTTTTTATGTCTTTTTTTAAGTAATTTTTCCAATAGAAAAACGTGAAACGAATATAACTTTCCTAATACGAATAGAAATATGAAAGAAAATATTAAGATAGTACATTTTTATACATATATCGTCCGTCCCGTCTATAAAGATGATTTTATCACATCAATTAGAAAACTAATTACTAAATTAATTAACTATCAGATCTCTTACACAAAATAAAGCATGCCTTACATGACACAGGTGGATCAAATATAAAAATGTGTAGAAAAAAACGTATGTACGTAATGTACGGTTCGCAAAAAAATATTAGAAAAAATGCAGTTTCCTTTGTCATGTAAAACAGTCTTATAATAAATTTATAATAGCCGTCCAATAATAATAATAATGCCTGGATACACAAATGTATTCAAGTGGCTTTAATCTTTAGAAAGAGATACGCATCGGCGTAAAGTGTCATTATCAGTTTAATGACATTAATACGGCCTGTGTAGCACTTTTACATAAAATTTAATGAATACCTTTTATCGGTTACGTTCCCGAAAAAGTACAAAGTGGCAACAAAAAAATGTCAAAATGAATAAACTTACTACTATTGTATGACTGTTGACTGTGTCGCACTACTTCACGTTAGAAATTGTTGGATAATCTTGAAAATTTTAGTTGAATGAGATCATTTGCATTGTAGTACATATTCATAATATATCATTTATTTATTGCACAAAAATAAACCTTATACAAACTTTTACATAAACTTTTTAGTCAGAAAATTGCTACAGCTACTTTTTTCACCAATTCATAAAATTATGCAATTTCACCAACGTCAAGTAGTGCGTGGTGAAGCGATGTACTTATTTATGCATCGCGTATATGCTGACCGTACCGGATTCCATAGTGTAAAGACGCGTTCGCATAAACGAGAGGTCAAAAATACAGGTCTGTACAAAAATACAGATGGACTTATTACACAAGAATAACTAATTTTATAATCTATGGTTACGATCTTCTCTCAATTTTTAATGAAGATTAAACTGACTGACGAAATGATTCATGTTTTTATTTACATGTGAATTTAAGTCTAAAAGGCCAAGGTAAGATTATGATTAGTTTAATACTAAATGTCAAAATGTGTGGGATTTATTGAATGTCAAATTCAAAATATTATTACCCTGTGGGGAGAAAGTCATGATTTTCGATGTCAAATGAAATTATTAATTAAAATGTCATATTGAAAAGTACAGTATTAAATTGATCTAAAACAAGCATTTCTAAGCTGCATATAAAAAGGGACCGGGTTCCAGTACCATAGACAGATGGGAACGCGTCTATCCACAGACAAAACAAAACCGCTACAACACACATTGGTCCGTGCTAGCACATATATAAAATATACAATGGCCGGCCGTTTTGATGGCGTACCAAATTACTGTCTGAGGTCCGATTCTAACGTAATTTAGACATTAATTAACACTAATTACATGCTTCTATTGAAGCATGGTTGTTATAATAACACTTATCTGCCTCAAGCGACAAAATAAAAAGTAACAGAAGACATTCACCATGTACTTCAAAATCATAAAATCAAAATCAAAAGTATTTATTCAGTTTAGACCACAAGTGGCACTTATGAACGTCAAAATTATTATAGAAAATAATAAGAAAGAAAAGTTAGCCCTTATGGGGCACTTCACATGTCTCCTTATCTTTTGGGACCTACCAGCGCTTCGAGACAAACATATGGCAAGTGCTGAGAATAAACTTAACTTTATTTCGCATACGCACACAGATGCGTCTCAATCGGGCGGCATTCGCGCACGCACTGGTTTAGACTGGTTTGCGATAATTTACGATTTATGTCCGTGAGCGTTGTCTATGTGCGTTGCCTGAGCGCACTTTGTATGTAGATTTTCTTCTGCTTCTATTTTGTGCTCAAGCTCTCTATAAAAATTAAAGCAATAACTGGGGATAGTATCAAATATAATTAGAAACAGCTAGAATCGGTCCCCAAAGAGTTTGCGTAGCCATCAAAATGGCCGCCGCCACTCGTCTGTCCACCTAAACTAGGCTACTCTAATACATTTACAATACGTTACGCTACGTTCAATATATCATCTTGTGTATTTTGAGGATTTTGCCTAGACGCTGCTTCGCCGTCTTCATACCCTTTTTCAGTCTTAGATCTGTTGGAAGAAAAGAAAATTGATAATTTATTAGTCAAAATGCTAAACACTGCAATTTATTATAATTTAACTTGAAAGAATCGAACTGCCTAAGGTAGGAATCAAATCCACGACCTTTCGCTAGCTACTTAGACACTGGATAAAGAAGTGACCTTTTTCTGGGCGGGGTAATGGTTTTCGTATTTCGTTTGTAAAGAATACAAGTTTTCTTGCAAGTGTCAGTTAAATAGAACGTCATCATCATTCATGACGTAGGCAGCAGGCTTTTGTTTATTGTTCTAATAAGACAAATGACTGTTGTAAGTACTCACTCTTGTTATTTGGCGTGTTTTGTACAGGCGGCGGCGGCCGTCTGCTCTTTGTTGCTATCACTGCCCTCTTTGCATTCTGGAATAAAGAATTCTGTTTATAAAGTATGAAGATTACGTTTATCTATCTAAAGTCTAGCGTAATTTCAAGAATTGCAATATATGAATGAAATCTTATGAAACAATGCTATAAAAAACAACCAAAAGATTCGACATAGACGGGAAACTCGACGAGCGTGCCACAGTCCATTATAAGAAGCCGGATATTTTTTTAGGCTGGGAAGGCTAAAAAGTAAGTACAATCCTACTAGAGGAGCAATGAACTGGTCCGTGAAGGTTGTAGTCAATCCATTGGGCAGCTACAGTTGAGAGCAGCGTTAGGCGATAGCGTTAAAACAATGAACATCTCACCACTAGCGCGGGCGCGGGCGGCGGCGGCGCGGACGCGGCGGCGTGCAGTGCGGCGCGCACGCACTCGCGCCGCACGCCCGCGCGCGCCGGCCCGCGACTGCGCGGCGTCACGCGGCCCACGCGCGCGCGCGGCGACCAGCACTCGTCCCTGGGTGGAAGGAATAAGGGTTATAAGGGCTTTTTCATATTGTGAGACCAAACTACTTCAAAAATCAAAGTAATAAAGAATTCTTTGGCGACACTACTTAGCACTCTTCCGGTAAAAAGTTGAAGTATCTGTTTACTGCTTAATATTCTGCTATTTTGGTATGGCTTTAGTTAGTAGGTATTTTCTGTATTGTTTTAACTTTTTTCATATATTGTAGTTATACTGCATGCTAAATGGTTTTGTTTTGGATTGTATCTTGATATGCTATTTGTGAAAACTATGTAAGGCATTTTTGATCTTAACCGCCTCATCTATTAATAATACATATAGAAAATTCACTTTTGAAAATGTAAGGAAACGAAAACTTTAACCATTGTAATTTAAAGAAAATTTCATGTAACTTATTTTTAAATTTCATTGTACATGTGATTCCCTTGACGTTTACAACATTCAGTCAACATACATAAAAATTTTGGAAAACTTTCGTAAGAGTTACCTTGAAATGGATTCAGGATGGATGAATGCTGCAGAGTTTTTGGATTTTTAGAGTATACTCTGCTCATAATGTAACCTTACAAAAAGAAGTCTGCTGGAATGAGATTAGGGCTTCTTAGTGACAACGAGATTTCACCCCTGCTGAATTGGTTTGTTGCATCGAAAGGATGATTAATTTTTGAGAGCGCTATACTGGCACGCTGAAAAGCTTTTTGATTTCAAAGTGGCAAGATTCGCAAGGCTATGACAGAAGCACTTGGTTTCATCAAGATTGGGCTACATGTCACACTTCAAATGAGAGCATTTAGATGGTAAGAGACATGTTCCCACAAAAAAAATTTTTTAGGCAGGGGTGACATCTCCTGGCCACCAGGAAGCCCTGATCTCACTCCAGAAAACTCCTTTTTGTGGTGATACCTTAAGAATAGAGTATACTTTTATCATCCAACAACCATGCAGCAACTGAAGCTGAACATTCGGCAAAAAATGGAAAATAGGTTTCGAGGTAATTCTAACGAACGCATTTCAAGATTTTGATGTATGTTGATCGAATATTGTAAGCGTCAAGGAAATCTCCTGGACGATGTAATTTAAAATTGTAATGAATAAAGTTCTACAAAATTACACAGGATTTTTTTTCTTGAATTTTCAAAAGTGAATTTCTTTCTGGGCCACCCTGTACTATGTACAAATGTTGGCGTTCAAAATAATACAACGATCATTTCAACTATAGTCTAGTCTGTGAGCACGTAGAGTTTTGTCCAGTGACCGCAAACTACCCATCCTTATCGCTCGCGCGTAATTATGTTGCTATCGCGCTCGCACACTCACAACGGGAGCCCATCGCACAGTCGCGACAGCAATATAATGAGGGCTATCGTTTTTATACTTAACAGTTGGCACCCCTGGCGATTGACAGGACCTTACTCTACAGTGGCGCCATCTTGATGAGTGCAAATGCGATAGTCCTCCTACCACTTTAGCGCTCACCAGTTGGTGCCACTGTCTTCGCTACTAGCAAGTGACAGGACCTTACTCTACAGTGGCGCTAACTGGTGAGCGCTAAAACGATAGCCCTCATCGCTCCTGCGTAATGAGGTAATTAGCTTGGGGTCAATAGACAACATTCTACATGCTCACAGACCGGGCTTTAGAATAGAGAAACACGGGTCGCAACCAACAGCATAATCACAAAATAGCAGATAAAACGTCAAGCTGTAAGTTATGTAACTCATATAAAAAATGTCGCATTGAGAACCGTGTTTCTCCATTTTAATACAATGGACAGCACTGGTCTCTCTCTCTCTCTCTCAATTTTATATTATACAAAACGTTGCGGTGAACACAACTCGTTCCTGCAAGGCTACTCCAAAACACTATTTACGTAGTTTCAGGTCTATCTGTCTCCGTCGCTTATGCTGTCATCTTGCTTTGCGTGAGGGGGATGGTAACATTTGGAACTTCGGATAACGTTTTACGGAGTAACCCTATTGGACCACATGAGATAATAAAGCGGGAATTAAGTTACCGTGAAAATTATTTGAGTGCAAAACAGTACGGCAATCAAAACACTCGTCCTTTTAGGTATACAGTGTGAGTCACGTTAAAGTGTACATATGAAAATAGATGAAACTAGACCTATTTTTATCGACAAAAAAGAGGTCAAAATTTTTTTGAGATTTTTTTTTAATTTTTTATAGAATTTTTTTTCTTTCGATTACTTATTGTAAAGAAAACGTAATAACTTTTAAACTAAGCGGTATATCCTGATAAAATAAAAACAGTAATAATGCTAAATAACAGGCGATACTAAAAAAAATACATAAAATACACAAAAAATGCCAACAAATAATAAAAAATGATACTTTTTGAAAAAAATCTGATTAAAAATTCGTGTTTTTTTGGTTATTTGATAAATTTCTCCAAAAAATGCCCCTATAACAGGTGGTTTTTATTACTTTGTATTATTCTCTATCGTATTACCTTCGTAAAACCAAAAATCGCATGTCTCTATCCCTATCACAACGTTTGCAATGATCGTTTGAACTAAGCCTCTCCGGGCGCGCCATTCAACGCTTCGTTAAGAACGAAACTGAAAATGGCTCTAGATTTGTAATTTTGATAAAGACAAGTTAGATTTCAAATAAAAACAAAAGATTTCGAAGTAAAATAAGCATTTTAGTTAAAATTAAAATTGTCTCTACCTGCAGCGGAAAATAATGTTGTGGCCGGCCTTTGTTCAAACGATCACAGCAAATGTTGTGATAGGGATAGAGACATGCGATTTTTGGTTTTACAAAGATAATACGATAGAGAATAATACAAAGTAATAAAAACCACCTGTTATAGGGGCATTTTTTGGAGAAATTTATCAAATAACCAAAAAAACACGAATTTTTAAGTTATAGGGGCATTTTTTGGAGAAATTTATCAAATAACCAAAAAAACACGAATTTTTAAGCAGATTTTTTTCAAAAAGTATCATTTATTATTATTTTTTGGCATTTTTTATGTATTTTATGTATTTTTTTAGTATCGCCTGTTATTTAGCATTATTACTGTTTTTATTTTATCAGGATATACCGCTTAGTTTAAAAGTTATTACGTTTTCTTTACAATAAGTAATTTGAAGAAAAAAAATTCTTTAAAAAATTAAAAAAAAATCTCAAAAAATTTTTGACCTCTTTTTTGTCGATAAAAATAGGTCTAGTTTCATCTATTTTCATATGTACACTTTAACGTGACTCACACTGTATAAAACTAAAAAGAAAGTCAAAGCTTTAACTCACTTTTCGTTTTTGGATTTGCTGTCTCCCCTGTTCCTGGAGTTGCGTCTCCGCCGCGTCGTCGTCCATTCCTCGTCCTCGTCCGAGCTCATCTCCAGGGATGGATATACTGGAAACATACTAATTTATTAATCCCATTTCTTTAGTTTTTTTTTAATCTATAGGTAGGTGCATACAGGGTGTTAGGTAAATGGGTATATGAGCCGACACCAGCCCATGTTAACATGGTTATACATATAAACGGTGTGGTGAAGTAAGAAAATTGATATCTTCATTTTAATTATTTTATTCTTCATACAAATCGGATTTTATAAAATTTATTTTGTATGAAAATTTAAAAAATTAAAATGATGATATCAAATTTCTGACTTCACCATACCATTTATATGTCCATGTTAACATGGGCTAGTGTCGGCTCATATACCCATTTACCTAACACCCTGTATAAGCACATGAAATAGCTAAACGTCTGACACAAATAATGGGAACTTGACCCATAACATTATTTTAATCAGGAACAACAATTAGGAAGATTGAACTAATGTGGATTATGTAGGGCTCTGTCAACTACAAATAGTGTTCTCCGGAGCCTATTCAGACAAAACTACGAATGTCCAAGCTAGATAGATATCCGAGTAATTTTTTTGTGATTCTGCCCCTGACATTTTGACGTCAACCGGGCTAGGATGCGCGCCGTAATAGAATCTTATTGATGATTTATTTTTATTCATTTATTTCCAAGCTTATGCCTATATTAGTCGACAAACGTATGGGCTTATCGCATAAAATCGATAAAATGGTGCGATAAACGCTTATTGCGCCGCGCATCCTAGACCTACAGGAGTCAGCAAATTGAAAGCGTGCTTATCGGTGACCTGCCGTCAGTTTCGAGCCCGTGGTAGGCCTTTTTGGAGTCAAATTCTATTGCTTATATCTTAGACGAACTGTCCACTTGCTAACAGCTATCCTACGAACATTTCTGAGCTCTTGCTGGACGTCGATACCAGTCAAATGACGATTTTATAGAGGTTGACATGAAAAAACGGTCATCCCTCTGCGATGTGCACCGGTGCTGTTCAGAACTTGGTCTCGGGATAAAGCCACCAGTCTCCCGAAAGCGTCTTAAAACTTTCGAAACCCAGGACTGGCTTATGTGGAGCTGACGTGCGACAGCCTGCTGGCTGAGCTCTTCTTGCAATAGTGCAACGATTTGTGCTGCTTCTGAAGGTGTAGAATCCCAGGTAAAGTGTCAAAAGAAGCGGAGATGTGTAAGGATCCACGTGTAAAAGCAAAATCCGAAAACACGTGCTTTTTTAGGGGGTAAATAGGCCGCAACTCGCGACGTATCAAAGAGTTGATACATGTCTTTTTCCTTACTTTTTCACATTAACCGGGATATCTTTTTAAATACTGATGTGATTTAAATAAATTTGGTATCAATTTAAAGTTAAAAGTTTAATCTTTAAAATGGTGCCACTTTTTTTGTTACTAACAAATTCGTTAGTACACAAGATCGCGTGGAAACAACTTCATGTAAGTGATTCCATAAGAGGTTGACATGAAAAAACGGTCATCCCTCTGCGATGTGCACCGGTGCTGTTCAGAACTTGGTCTCGGGATAAAGCCACCAGTCTCCCGAAAGCGTCTTAAAACTTTCGAAACCCAGGACTGGCTTATGTGGAGCTGACGTGCGACAGCCTGCTGGCTGAGCTCTTCTTGCAATAGTGCAACGATTTGTGCTGCTTCTGAAGGTGTAGAATCCCAGGTAAAGTGTCAAAAGAAGCGGAGATGTGTAAGGATCCACGTGTAAAAGCAAAATCCGAAAACACGTGCTTTTTTAGGGGGTAAATAGGCCGCAACTCGCGACGTATCAAAGAGTTGATACATGTCTTTTTCCTTACTTTTTCACATTAACCGGGATATCTTTTTAAATACTGATGTGATTTAAATAAATTTGGTATCAATTTAAAGTTAAAAGTTTAATCTTTAAAATGGTGCCACTTTTTTTGTTACTAACAAATTCGTTAGTAGACAAGATCGCGTGGAAACAACTTCATGTAAGTGATTCCATAGTTTTGCTCGCGAGTGTAGTATGCGTAATATGGATAACCTTGAAGTGTCATTTACGGATCATCTTAGGTGAAATGAACTATAGTTGCAAAACAACGCTTATTACAAGTACATAAGACACCCCAGTGTTTAGGAGTGCTATCGTGTGCCCACTGACCGTACTCCTCGTCGCGGTGCACCTCCTTGATGACGTCCTCCTCGTCGAAGTCCTCGTCAGCGCTGCTCGCCGCTGCAGCGGCTTTTCGCGTGCGCTTGCTGCTTGACGGCGTGCCACTGGAACAACGATACGTTACAACTTGTTTAGGGATATACAGACGACAATGTGTTGCAGTACGGGACTATTCCCACCGCTGCAACTCCTGTGTACACACAGCTTGACCGCCAATAGAAACCCAACCAGTGAAGGTCAAGTTTGTCCCGGAGGAAAGTTAAACTGTCATTGGATCCGCAACGAAATTAATCAGAAAAACATAGGAGGAATTCGAAGATTGTGTTGCAGTAGTCGGAAGGTAAAAATGCTTTCCTCTTGAGGTTGGATTCCAGGTTTTTCTTCTATCATCATCATTTCAGCCACAGGACGTCCACTGCTAAACCTAGTCCTCCCCCAATGCTTTCCACATGACCGGTTGGTAGGGGCCTGCTTCCAGCGCCTTCCTGCAACCTTTATAAGGTTGTCGAATCACTTACGACTAAATAAAATACAAGCCAAGATTTCCCCGTAATTTTTTATTTATTTATTTTCTTTTATTATTATGGTTAATAAATAAATTCAAAACCCACTATACAAACGATATAACTATAGTAAAAAGAGCGACATTTCGATTTCAAAGCCGTAATATCACCGTGACTAATTGGTTTGTATCTACAAAATGTTAAGAAGTTTGTGCAAGTTTATAAAATCGTCTGAGGTTTTTCCAAATGAAAATGTAACTGTGTATCACTTTCACGATAATTTTCTCCTTAGTTTTCTTCTAAAGCTTCAACCACAACAACGCGTACAGCCGCGATCATAGGCCAATGACAGGTCTCGCGACCTGTCATTGGCCTATGTTCGCGCCGTGATCGCGCCGGCGATGGCGATCTGCACGCGTTGATGTGGTTGAAGTATAATTTACTATACAGGGTGCTAGGTAAATGGGTATATGAGCCGACACTAGCCCATGTTAGTATGGCCATATAAATGGTATAGTGAAGTCAGAAATTTGATATCACCATTTTAACTTTTTTAATTTTCATACAAAATAAATTTTATAAAATCCGATTTGTATGAAAATTAAATTAATTAAAATGAAGATATCAATTTTCTGACTTCACTATACCATTTATATGCCCATGTTAACATGGGCTAGTGTCGGCTCATATACCCATTTACCTAACACCGTGTATAGTAAAATCTGAGTCTATTGATAATATTTTAATTAAATACGATGTAAAAATATTTTTTATATAATGTACGCAATGTGTGAAACGGAATAGATTTAGTGCTGGGGTATTTGTTGTATAACAAAATCGATTATTTCCGCGGTTCATTAATCGATTGCAGTGAATACTTAGTTATTAAAAACATCACAAAAATCAACTTTATTTTTGATTGTTGACTTTAATAAACGCATTGAAAATAAATTAATAGTTTTTAATTTAAAGAAATAGAACCAGTACTTTTTAGGGATCGTTTTTTTGAACATGAACTCTATGGAATTTGAATATCTATATATATATATAAAAATGAAACCCGTTTCGCGTTGTCACGGCATCACGTGTGAACGGCTGAACCGATTTCGATAATTCTTTTTTTTAAATGTTTGTGGAAGTCCAAGGATGGTTCTTACGGAAAAAAATATTAAGAAAATCTCTACGCTAAGGCGGTACGAAGTTCGCCGGGTCAGCTAGTTATCAATAAAAAAATGTTACAATAATATTTGTAATTAAAAAAACATGTTTTTTGTTAATAACACCTATACAAAATATTTCTCTAAAAGTAGGTTTTACTAACTCTTAGAAAAAAATCGATAGATAAATCGCTATGGTTTAGTTATGTGACATCTCTATAACTTTCAAACTCGAAACGTCATACGAATCATCTTACGTGAAAAAGACTATCCCAACTAATATTATAAATGCGAAAGTAACTCTGTCTGTCTGTCTGTCTGTCCGCTTAAACCTCGCAACCGATTTTGATGAAATTTGGCATAGAGATAGTTTGAGTCCCGGGAAAGAACATAGGATAGTTTTTATCCCGGTTTTTGAAACAGGGACGCGCGCGATAAAGTTTTTCTGTGACAGACAAAATTCCATGCGGGCGAAGCCGCGGGCGGAAAGCTAGTAGGTCATAAAGTAGTTTTTACCTGTCCGGCGGTTCGGCGGCGGCGGGGTCGGCGGACGCCGGCGCGGGCTCGGCGGGCGCGTCGGCGGCCAGCCCAAAGGCGCGCGCCGGCGCGCTGTACCGCTCGCTGATGCTTAGCATGCCTGCTACTGCTGCGTCCTCACTGGAGAAGGAATTTTAGGGTTTAATACTACTTCTGGACACAGATTCACTTGACTCTTGAGAGCATATAAGTTAGATCTAGAAAACCTATGTAGAACAATATCTCTTGATTGGTGATGGAGCTTAAGGTGTTATTTAGGGGCCATCCATAAAGTACGTCACACGAATTTCATGATTTTTTGACCCCCCCCCCCTCCGTCCTTGTCACAGGTGGTCACATTTCTGAGACCCCCCCCCTCCCTAGTGTGACGTCACATGTTTTGCAATTTCACATCGAAAAATTATTAAATTAACAGCAGTTCCGAAATTACTTTTAATTCCATTTAAATTAAGTACNTGTGACGTCACATGTTTTGCAATTTCACATCGAAAAATTATTAAATTAACAGCAGTTCCGAAATTACTTTTAATTCCATTTAAATTAAGTACTTTTTTTATGAAATCAACATTATATCAAATAGAAATAGAAATATTTATTTGTCTTTGAATAGGGTGTACAGAAGGTCGAAAATAACAAAATATGATCACCTATCCAGCCATCAACAATAGCATGCAAATATTTGAAACAATTGAAATGTGATGTCACGAAACTTAGGACCCCTCTCATCCCTTGTCACACTATGTCACACTTTGTCAACCCCCTCCCCCCCTCTTTACGTGTGACGTACTTTATGGATGACCTCTTAGACACGCGCCCGCGCAGTTTGTTCGATGCAAACAGTGCGAGAACTGCCCAGCAACCGCGCGGATTCCGCTGTATCTGAACTAGGTCTAAGATTTAAGCCTGCAGTGTAAGCCACGTATTTTATAGTCGTGAAGTTGTTAAAAGTATAAAAAATAAAGGTCTAACCGAGTCAGTTTTTGTGGTACGGGAGCTATACGAGAGGATTGACTGACAAAATATGGCGTCACAGTTATGCGCTAAACCTACAATTTGATGGCACATTAAATCATACTAATTTATTATGTAAATCTTGCGATACAAAAAACTGCATTGGACTCAATCTAACTAACAAATTTCAGCACTAATCTCAGACAATAATATCATCATATCAACACTGGTAGGGCAAGCTGTATATGGGACGTGTGTAATGTCCGTTTTCACCATCAATCCCTAATTTTTAAGTGACCACTATGGTAACACACATAACAGGCCTTTTGTTTTCATAGGGGTCACTTAAAAATTAGGGATTGATGGTGAAAACGGGCATCAGTGCGCTTAAAGGGCCCACATACTAATCACCAACATCATCATATCAGCCATATGATGTCCACTGCTTAACATAGGCCTCCCCCAATGATTTCCACAATTTCCGGTTGGTAGTGGCCTGGATCCAGCGCCTTCCTGCTACTTTTATGAGGTCGTCGGTCCACCTAGTAGGTGGACGTCCTACGCAGAGCACATACTAATTATAATTTAATTGAACTCACGTGGCGCTCCCGGGCTCCTCCTCGGCCAGCACGGAGGCCTGGATGAGCGATTCGATGCCGTTGGCCGGCGCCGGCCGCGCGCGGTAGCTCGCGCCGCCGCTGTTTGATGCTGCGGAGAAATAATGTTTATTAGAGAATAAATAACTGCCTTTGTGGTATAGTGGAACAATCACTTGTCTCAGCTCATTAACCCACGCAGGAAGATTTAATGAATGCTACTGACAACACCACTCTTTTAGCCGAGTTTTGAGCTGATACTGTATAGGTTTGTTGTCGACACGACAAGAAGATCAAACCCAGGGGTCTCAAGTTCGATTCCCAGTGAGACTGAGGGCTAGTTTTCCGCTCGGTTTGGTTGGTGGTAAAGTTAATTCTATAAGCCCGCATGACTATTTTATCTGAAACATTGCCATTTCTTTTTTTACAGGATTAACAGTCGGGAGTTAGATAATTTCTCTGTGGTTAAGGAGTCCGCGTGTAGTTAGAGAACCTTAGACCTGATTATCACTTTCCATGTGAGATGCAGCAGGCCAGAAGCTTCTGCATTTTGGTAAAAATGTATTTTATCACCAGGCCATTCAGTCTTCATTGCAGGAACACGACCGTCTTATTTACCGCGTATCGATGTACACAGACGCTGTCGTTGCAATATCATCCTTATTACCTGCGAGCGAGTGGTGAGTTTTGTGCTTGGGCGCTCGACGGCGGCGCGGCGCGGGCGCATCGTCTATGTATAAGCCCTGTCTTCATTGTCGTAATTGTTGCAATATCATCCTTTATTACCTGCGTGCGAGTGGTGTCTTGTGCTTGGGCGGACGCGCGGTGCTCATCGTCAATGAACATCTGACATTATTGTAGCAAACCACTCCTATTGTAAGAACAGTTTACCCGTCAAATTAAACACTGTTATAGCAATACCACCCTTATTACCTGCGTGCGAGTGGTGAGTTTTGTGCTTGGGCGCTCGACGGCGGCGCGGCGCGGGCGCTTCGATGTATATCAGACATAGTCGTTGCAAAATCACCTCTATTACAAGAACAGTCCACCCATCAGTCTACAAACTGTCATTGCAATACCACCCACCCTTTTACCTGCGAGTGAGAGTCTTGTATTGGGCTTGTCTATGTATAAGCCCCGTCTTCATTGTCGCAGTTGTTGCAATATCATCCTTATTACCTGCGTGCGAATGGTGAGTTTTGTGCTTGGGCGGACGCGCGGTGCTCATCGTCCATGAACATCTGACATTATTGTAGCAAAACCACTCCTATTCACACACAGTCTACACGTTGTCATTGTCGGCCGTTTGGTGTAGTGGTTCGAAACGGACAACTATTCCGGAGGTAGCGGGTTCGACTCCCGCACAGTACAAACATTTGTGTGCATGAAGATATTTGTTTGTATTGGACTGGGTGTTTTCTATGTATGTATAATAAGTATGTATTTTAAAAAAAAAAAAAGTATTTAAGTATGTTTATATCCGTTGTCTAGTACCCATAGTACAAGCTTTGCTTAGTTTGGGACTAGAAGCGCAGTGTAAAATGTCCAAGGATATTTATTATTTATTTATTTATTATTTATTTAATACCACCCTTATTATATATACCAAAGTAACCGACATAGCTCGCAGAATTGCTAAAATCAAGTGGCAGTGGGCGGGGCACATAGCTCGTAGAGACGATGGCCGTTGGGGCAGGAAAGTTCTCGAGTGGCGACCACGGGCTGGAAAACGTAGCGTGGGCAGGCCTCCTACTAGGTGGACCGACGATCTGGTAAAGGTCGCGGGAAGAGCCTGGATGCGGGCAGCGCAGGACCGTTCATTGTGGAAAACCTTGGGGGAGGCCTTTGTCCAGCAGTGGACGTCATTTGGCTGAAACGAACCACCCTTATTACCTGCGTGCGAATGGTGAGTTTTGTGCTTGGGCGCGCGACGGCGGCGCGGCGCGGGCGCATCGTCTATGTAAAGGTCTCCATCTTCATAGTCGTAAGTGTTAGATACGCGTCGTCGCACCGGCCGCTCTGAGCGACGAACCGCTTTGGGCTCTGAATTTGTCTGTGGGTACAAAGTTTACATTAAAAATACTCATATTAACCTATGTATACTCAGCAAGTATTCGTAGCGAGAGAACAATAAAACAGTGTGTAATCTTGACTAAAATATTAATGCAGATCCATCATAGTGGAGTGAAAAGATATAATTAAAGTAAAGCGTTTTTATTACACACGCGTCCGTTTTGCAAATAATGATTTCTAACACATCATTTTGTTAATTGATATAATATTGTAAAAAAAAAACGTGTCGATATAATTTAAAATTTCTGGTTCGGGATTATACGGCACACTCATAAATTCAAAAGAATTTCATTTTAATTCATATTCCAGTGATTCGTGCCCGATGCGTCTTCAGCTCCGTTCGTACTTATGAGATATCGAAAAGTCTTGAATATGCATCGCCTGCATAGATATAAAAAGAGATGCCAACTAATGCGCTGAGTTCGAAACTCAGTGTCGCATTTGAAATTCACACACACAAAGAAATCAAAATATGTTCTCATTATCCACTGCGGTATCAGTACTCAACGTTCGAATAATCTTTAGTACTACGCAAGCAACGTAAACTGTTTCTATTATGACGTCGCTGCTGACATCATTGATTTCACTAGAAATGTGTTCTGTTTTTGGGCATATTGTTGCGACACCGGCCCCGCCCCCTTGTCACATCTCCCTTTAGTTTCTGTGATCTGTGATCGCCTACATCAGATCTCAGCGCTTACATAGCGCGCTAGGTTTTCTAGTACAGGGATGGCAACCAATGGCACGCGTGCCATTGATGGCACGCGCCGCAATATTTAGAGCACGCCACCAATCACTTCAAAATTCACGATGAAATAAAATAGTTTTGAATGAGGTCTATCGTATTTCATCATTTCAGCCACAGGACGTCCACTGCTGAACATAGGCCTCCCTCAATGACTTCCACATCGCACGGTTGATAGCGGCCCGCATCCAGCACTTTCCTGCTACCTTTATCAGGTCGTCGGTCCATCTTGTGGGTGGACGTCTCACGCTATGTTTTTCGGTACGCGGCCTCCATTCCAGAGCCTTGCTGCCCCATCGGCCGTTCTGCGTACTATGTGCCCTGCCCACTGCCACTTCAGCTTGCTAATCCGTCGGGCTATGTCAGGGACTTTAGTTCGTTTACCGTATCGTATTTGCCCTCATCAATTGGCGCCACTGTAGAGCAAGGTACTGTCAGTAGCCAGTGGCGCCACTTGTACAATGCCCCCTCATTGCTAGCATTAAGTGGCACGTCTACGATTACATCAAAATGGTTTTTAGAAAAGTGGCACGTTGCTTCATAAAGGTTCGCCATCCCTGGTCTAGTAGATGTCTACAGTCTTATACACGTTCCACCGTGTCTCATACGTGTCACACGGCCCACAAACGCCCCACAACTTACGTAAGTGACGCTGGCATACTGCTGCGCAATGGCGGCGTCGTAGGACGGCAGCGGGGCGTGGTAGGCGCCGTTATTCTGCTCTGGTTGCGCCGGCGCACTGGGGACGTTGCTATAGCTTGCTTGCTGTGGGAAAACGTCGATGTTTATTTTAGTTCTTGTTCATCTGCGTACAATCAAAATCAAAATCAAAAACATTTATTCAGTTTAGACCACAAGTGGCACTTATGAACGTCAATAGAAAATAATAAAAAAAGAAAAGGTAGCCCTTATGGGGCACTTTACATGTCTCCTTTCTTTTGGGCCCTACCAGCGATTGTACACAATAAAATTTGTAAGTACTATTTAATGAGGGTTTTCGCGATTTAAAAATCCGCCAGATGGCAATACGTAGACGGGAGGTCCAAATGCTGCGTAATTGGTGGATTTTGACATATCTGTCAATGTCATGTCAAAAATAACCAATCACGCAGCATTTGGACCTCCCGTCTACGTATTGCCATCTGGCGGATTTTTAAATCGCGAAAACCCTCATTAGTCTCTATACAAATAAAGAAAAAAAAAGGTTTCTTATGCAAAACAAGGCAGGTATTTGAACGCAATCGCGCCTGATGTTAAGTGAGATGCTGTTTAGAATGGTACATATCTGCCCTGTAAGCGCCGATCACTTTCGCCTTGAAAAGGCCCGGATATTATAGTTTTACTGAACAAATTCGTGTCAGAGTAGACTACAGCATTTTATAAATAGAACGTGACCCTCAGTCATGGGGGACATTGAAAACCAGCGTCGTGGCCTTCGTCACCATGGGCCACGGGCCACGGCATATGCTGAATAGGATCTCGTTGCAGTGGGCAGTTAACTTGACCGGATTGTAATATCTCCTATTTCACCTTTTCCAGGTTTTACTTTAGCGAAATTAATCAAATTCGGTAAGAGACAGAAAGGAATAAAAAAGAGGCGTACGCGCATATGCTGTTTCCGTGTAACACCCGTATTCACAAACATTACTATGAGGTCTCACAGGTCCCAAAAACCTATTCATAGACAAATGACAATAATTCAGTGGCGGAGTGACAAACTCGAACCAATCACAATCAACGCTACGTTCGACTTCGCATAGCGTTTCTGCTTCACTTAAGCAAGCATCGTTTGTGAATGGGTTAAGTGTAATATGTGCTGAAATACAGTAAAGTTGTGTACCTGGTGCACAGGCGGCGGCGCGTGCTCATCATACCGCGGGTAGGTTTCCACGTATTCGTGCGGGTAGGTGTACTCCGGCTGGTATGAACCTGGTTTAGCCGTCTCCGAGTACTGGTAGTCCGGCTGGATGTCCTCCGCGGAGTACATGCCTGAAGGATGCAGAAATATTAAATTAATATGAGTAATATCTGGGAGACATTGGGGGCTTTTGGCGGAAAATAGCGCTAGCTAGCGGTAAGTGCTGTCACAGTCAAAAAAATGTACGAGATACGTCACTTTTGAAGTTTAGCAAACGTGTCCTAGCCGAAAACATGCTAGTTTTCGGCGGTTGCCATTGCAATCGCCATTTTGCTAGCAAATTCTATCAATGCTAATTATCAGCTGAACGCAGCCATTGTCTCTTATCTTTTTTTCTCATATGGCTTGATTTGTTTTAAAGGAATATTAAGATGCTTTTGTGACATCAAACATCAGGGAGACTTCAGATGTGTTTCAGACTTGTATGCTTTATCACGTCAATATTGTCAACTACAAAAGTCCAGAAGAGGTGGACTTCGAACCGGCATTTCTCGGATTTCGAATAACCCAATATATAAGCTATATTCGCCTCAAAATTGGTAACGCCTCTGCTACAGTGCGCCTCCAAGTTTGGACAGAAGGGCTACTCATAACGCTGTATACGTAGTTTCGGGTCTATCTGTCACCGTCACTCCTGCTGGCATCTCGCTTTGAGTGAGAGGGATGGCAACATTCGAAACTTTGGATAACGTTTTTTGGAGTAACCCTGCTGGTGCGAATTGAGAATCGAGAGCTCCACGTCACTGGTTTTAAAACAGTAACTTACCAGGCCTATAAATTGATATCCTGCGAGTCAATCTTCAGGTACTCATTGTTGAAAACGATTAAATTATAATTCCTTGGAGATAGTTTACTAGTGGAAATGGCTTTAATACTTTAACCACATTACTCGCGTAGTTGTCTGAAGCTGATAGTGTGGACATGCTTCACTTCGCTTCGAGCTAACTCTCCTCTCCTCGGTCGACTTTCGATTGTTACCAAGTCTTGAAGCGTTCGGAAGTTGAAAGTCCAACTACACTACTCGGCTAACTTCGTCGAAACGGTACAAAACAGTAACTCACCAGGCCCATAATTAATCTCCTGCGAGTCGATCCTCATGTTAGCGTGTAAGTTCTCATTGGTGAACAGGATCTGCTCCTCATGATAATCTCCTATGTCCTTCTTGGAGATGGTCCACTGGTGGAGCGGCTTGAGAGCAGACCGGTCGCGGACCAGAAGGCTTGACTTACTTGACTTAGGTCCTATGTCCCCTAGATGGGGCAGAGGGCGTCCACAACAGTCCTCCATCGCGTTCGGTCTTGAGCTTCGCGTTTGATCTTGCACCAAGTCTTGCCGATTTTCTTCGCCTCGTCTGCTACAGTGTGTACGTAATTTCGGGTCTATCTGTCACCGTCGCTCACGCTGGCTTCTCGCTTTGAGTGAGAGGGATGGCAACATTCGAAACTCTGGAAACAGTTTTTTGGAGTAACCCTGCTGGTGCGAATTGAGAATCGAGAGCTCCACGCCGCTGTGGAAGTGGTTTTAAGAGAGCGACTTACCAGGTTCCATAAATTGGTCTCGTGCAAGTCAACCCTCAGATTCTCATAGATGAACAGGGTCCCTTGAAGGTGGTTTGCTAGTGGAAGTGGCTTTAATACTTCAACCACACTACTCGTGTATTTGGCCGAAGTAGATAGTGAGGACATGCTTCACTTCGCTTCGAGCTACCTCGCCTCTCCTCGGTCGACTTTCGATTGTTACCAAGTCTTGAAGCGTTCGGAAGTTGGAACACGAAGTGTCCGACTACACTACTCGGCTAACTTCGACGAATCAAAAAGCCAGTAGTGTAGGTACAAAACAGTAACTCACCAGGTCCATAGTTAATCTCCTGCGAGTCAATCCTCATATTAGCATGTAAGTTCTCATTGGTGAACAGGATCTGCTCCTCATGATAATCTCCTATGTCCTTCTTGGAGATGGTCCACTGGTGGAGCGGCTTGATAGCAGACCGGTCGCGGACCAGAAGGCTTGACTTACTTGACTTACGCCCGTTTTCACCAACAATCCCTAATTTTTAAGTGACCCCTATGAAAACAAAATTCCTGTTTATGCGTTACCATAGAGGTCACTTAAAAATTAGGGATTGATGGTGAAAACAGGCATTAAGGTCCTATGTCCCTTAGATGGGGCAGAGGGCGTCCACAACAGTCCTCCATCGCGTTCGGTCTTGAGCTTCGCGTTTGATCTCGCTCCAAGTCTTGCCGATTTTCTTCGCCTCGTCTGCTACAGTGTGTACGTAATTTCGGGTCTATCTGTCACCGTCGCTCACGCTGGCTTCTCGCTTTGAGTGAGAGGGATGGCAACATTCGAAACTTTGGAAACAGTTTTTTGGAGGAACCCTGCTGGTGCGACTTGAGGATCGAGAGCTCCACGCCGCTGTAGAAGTTGTTTTAAGACAGTGACTTACCAGGCTCATAAATTGATATATTGCGAGTAAATCCTCTGGTTCTTATTAGTGAACAGGATCTGTCCTCATGATAAAATCCGATGTCTTTCTTGGAGATGGTCTACTAGTGGAAGTGGCTTCAAAACAGTAACTCACCAGGCCCATAGTTGATCTCCTGCGAGTCGATCCTCATGTTGGCGTGTAAGTTCTCATTGGTGAACAGGATCTGCTCCTCATGATAATCTCCTATGTCCTTCTTGGAGATGGTCCACTGGTGGAGCGGCTTGAGAGTCGGCTGGTCGCGGACCAAAAGGCTTGACTTACTTGACTTAAGGTCCTATGTCCCCTAGATGGGGCAGAGGGCGTCCACAACAGTCCTCCATCGCGTTCGGTCATGAGCTTCGCGTTTGATCTCGCTCCAAGTCTTGCCGATTTTCTTCGCCTCGTCTGCTACAGTGCGCCGCCAAGTTTGGACAGAAGGGCTACTCTGAAATGCTGTGTACGTAGTTTCGGGTCTATCTGTCACTATCGCTCATGCTAGCATCTCGCTTTGCGTGAGAGAGATGGCAACATTCGAAACTTTGGATAACGTTTTTTGGAGTAACCCTGCTGGTGCGAATTGAGAGCTCCACGTCACTGGTTTTAAAACAGTAACTTACCAGGCCTATAAATTGATATCCTGCGAGTCAATCCTCAGGTTCTCATAGATAACAGGATCCCTTGAAGGTGGTTTGCTAGTGGAAGTGTATTACACTCTACTCGCGTAGTTGGCCGAAGTAGACAATATGAACATGCACTTCTTTTCACTTCGAGCAACCTTGTCTCTCATCGCTCGACTTCCGATTGTTGCCAACTCTTGAAGCGTTCGGAAGTTTGAACACGAAGTGTCCGACTCCACTACTCGGCTAACTTCGTCGAAACGGTACAAAACAGTAACTCACCAGGCCCATAGTTGATCTCCTGCGAGTCGATCCTCATGTTAGCATGTAAGTTCTCATTGGTAAACAGGATCTGCTCCTCGTGGTAGTCTCCTATGTCCTTCTTGGAGATGGTCCACTGGTGGAGCGGTTTCAAAGCCGGTCGGTCGCGGACTAGGTGCGATTTGAGAATGGAGTGCTCCGCCCCGCTGTATGGCGGCGGCGGCTCTGGCCGAGGGGACGGAGCGTTGCTGGAATGATAACAAACGGTTAGCTAGTTTCTGGGGAAACAAATTAATAAATAAATAAATAAATATAAATATCTTTGGACAATCTCACACAGCGCCATCTAGCCCCAAAGTAAGCAATTAATATGCTTGTGTTATGGGTGCTAGCTTAATGGTGGCCATACACGTTAGGGTTTGCATGATGGTTACGACCGTACATGCTTAACCGACAGGTATAACCGTGTTATCTATAGCACACACACGTTAGGGTTTGCATGTACAATCTAAATTTATTTAACTCAAAGGTGACTGACTGACTGACATAGTGATCTATCAACGCAAAGCCCAAACCTAGCAGTAACATTAAGATTTCTTGCAACAAGGAGAACACATGAGTGTCTTAAATATTCACCACCATTCACTGCCACAGACTATAGGAGACAGAGAAAACTGTGCATGCAAGCATGAGGGCGCACGCACGCTCGGTTATGCATGTGCGCAAACATAACCGAGCGGCAAAAATATCTTTTTTGATATTCGTTAGGTTGCATGTACACGCACCAATAACTGTACAGTTTTATAACATACACGCTAGGGTTTGCATGTCGGTTAAGCATGTACGGTCAAAACCATCATGCAAACCCTAACGTGTATGGCCACCATAACGGATATACTACTTATATACTTTTTTTTTTAAATACATACATATTATACATAGTAACACCCAGACCCGTCACAGAAATTAAAATTCATCATTTCAATTTCTGCCCGGCCGGGAATCGAACCCGGGACCTCTCGGCATAGTAGTCCGTTCTGAACCACTACACCAAACGGCCGACTATCCACCAAACCACCAAACACCAAATTATCTCGGGACAAGTGAAAGAGCACCGACGAAATGGTCAGACGCGGTGAGGAAGACGGTGCACATAGCTTATGACCGCAGTCTGTGGAAGAACACTACATGTGGTCGCGATCCTCATCAGTGAGGGACCGAGGAAGAAGAGAGTATTACCCAAACTAAATTCAATGAGGGCTATCGTTTTTATACTTAACAGTTGGCACCCCTGGCGATTGACAGGACCTTACTCTACAGTGGCGCCATTTTGATGAGTGCAAATGCGATAGTCCTCCTACCACTTGAGCGCTCACCAGTTGGCGCCACTGTCTTCGCTACTAGCAAGTGACAGGACCTTACTCTACAGTGGCGCTAACTGGTGAGCGCTAAAACGATAGCCCTCATTTAATCAGTCCAATGGTTTAAACGTGAAAAGGTAACGACAGTCACTTGTGCATTTATGATATTGGTACCGTCGTTGAGGCGACTATAGAACAAATATACGAACATCGAACCATCCTGCCTGACCACTGTAAGGAATTTAGGCTAAATCCTCCATTTGCCTCAGGTAATTAAAGATACTTTATTATCTTTTGCTGTTGTAATAGGTACTTTTTTGCAACAAAACAATCTGTGTTGTTAACAGTAAATTACGTAGCCGTACCCTTAGAAGATCGCTGAGGTTGCAGCCGCGCGCTCTGTATGAAAATACCTAAGTGTCGATATTGCAATTTGGCGCTGTGACGCAAATCTATTTCCTTTCAATATTGTTTAATTTAATTTGTCATTCCATAATCCGACTTCGATTAGGTTTCATCTCTTAGAAAGTAATTTCATGTAATTTTTTATTTCTTTTAATTAAATATATTTTAAATTAATTGGTTTTTTTTCGATCCTCCGGCTGCAGTAAACGTATTTGGCGCAGTCGGTAGGATACTCGCGGGCCGGTTCGCGAGGGTAAAAGTTAGAATCTCTCTATCGCGTCGCGAGTCGCCCGGGAAGCTATCAAGATTCCATCGACGAGTATCCTGATCTACGGACCTGCTGCAGACCAAGGAGGAGAATCCAGCCTTCGATTCACGAACAGGACCAGTTATGAAATCTTACCTGTAAGTACACTTGAATTGATCTCGTGTTGCTTCCTTTCTATTGTTAGTTATCCTAGTGTTTTATCTTAATCCTTCAAGATTTATCATCCTAGAGCTAATAGTTCGCGGGAGACTGAATCGAAACAGGCTCGCCGATATAGAATAGACAGTAATAGAGATATAGACATGTCGCACGACCCGGACACAATCTTTAAGGCCTTACGCCTCGTCCCGGAATTCGACGGGAACCCTAATATTCTCACACGATTCATTAATATTTGCGATCAACTAGTAACGCAATATATAAGTAATTCACAAGGTAGCGAGTTCTCTAACTTATGTTTATTGAATGGCATACTTAATAAGATAACTGGGACCGCTGCGTGTACCATCAACTCCAACGGGATACCAGAAAATTGGATAGGAATTAGAACTGCTTTAATTAATAATTTCTCAGACCAGCGCGACGAAACGGCCTTGTACAACGACCTCTCATTAGCTACGCAAGGAAATAGGACTCCGCAGGAATTCTATGACCATTGCCAAACGTTGTTTAGCACCATAATGACGTATGTGACTCTACATGAATCGGTACCTACGACCGTACAGGCGAAACGTGATCTATATAAGAAGGTTACTATGCAGGCGTACGTCCGCGGACTGAAGGAACCCCTAGGTTCCCGTATTCGTTGTATGCGTCCTCCCACTATAGAAAAAGCATTAGAATACGTACAAGAGGAGCTGAATATTATATATTTACAGCAGCGAAATGAACCCACTAAGTCCCATGTCAATGTCACTCCCAAACCTACCTCAACGACACATTCTTACTGTACGAGACTCAGATCGACTATTTAGGCAACAAACTCAACAAGGTACTTAAACAACTAAGGTCATTAGAACCGAATAGAGCTAAAAGAGGCATTGTAGATGGCCTAGGCTCAGTAATAAAAAGCATTACCGGTAACTTAGATCATACGGATGCTGAGAAATATAATAAAGTAATTAATATTCTTAAAAGCAATCAGGATAAGGTTACAACTGAATTCAATAATCATATTAGTCTTTGTAAGGAGTGGATGTCTAAACACAATGATATCCTAACTCAATTATTAGATAATCAGAATAAGATTAATGCTACTATCGAAACAATATTAAATAGTGATGCTTATAAAGAAAACAGTCTTATCAAGTATGCGAAATTTGCTCAGTTATTGGTAATTGTAAGTGAGAATATTGAGGATTTAACTCAAGAATTAATTAGATTAGAAAACTGTCTAGCTTTTATACGTGCATCTAGCACACATCATTCAATGATAGATGTAGATGTTTTAAATTCAATGATAAGTAAACTTAAAGTTATTTATGGAACCGATCGAATAATTAATCTTGAACTAAGACAGTACTATGAAATAATAAAACCTGGTTCATATTATACAGAAAATCAAATAGTATTCATATTTCAATTCCCTATTATCTCCAAGGATGTATATAATCTATATCATTTATCAATAGTTCCCAATAAAAATGCACAGGCCCTTATCCCAACCTATCCCTACATAGCAACCAATGAGATCGCATTCATGTACATAGAGACAGAATGTCCGAAGCTAAACCACTGGTTCCTGTGTGAAAGCACTGCAAATCATCAGCTACGCACCAAGTCTGACTGCATCCAGGAGCTGATTGTTAACCAAATCCTGAAGGAGACCTGTGAATTTTCAACAATTACACTCAAGAGAGAAGCCATGGAGAAATTGGACGACCAGCATTATGTCCTGTCGTTCCCACATCCCACCAAGGTCCAGCTCATCTGTTCAAGACAAGACTACAATACGCTCCAGGGAAGCTATCTCATCACCATCCCCGTTGGCTGCCACCTGAAAACTGCGGAATTCACTATAACAAACGACAATGATGAGGTAAAAGGACAGCCTCTCAAACTGACTGAGATACCATTTGATGTAGAAGGACAAGTCAAGATATCATCTCATATGAACTTAAACTCGATCAACCTGCAAGAACTACATAGTATACAAGACAAAATCATGATGCAGACTCCGATCAAGATCGACGACGCTCAGCTTCACACCCTGTACCACACGACTGTACCGTTTTACATAGTACTATTAAGTGCAGTTGCACTTATCATCGTCATCTCATGCCGGCGCTACAACATTCTGAAATGTAACAAGAAGCCTTCAAGAAATGAACAACAGCCACCAATCCAGAAAGATCCAGAGGGCATCCCGGCAACATTTTCACTGAACGTGCTAAAATAGTCGCCGTTCTCAGAGGGGAGGAATTACGTAGCCGTACCCTTAGAAGATCGCTGAGGTTGCAGCCGCGCGCTCTGTATGAAAATACCTAAGTGTCGATATTGCAATTTGGCGCTGTGACGCAAATCTATTTCCTTTCAATATTGTTTAATTTAATTTGTCATTCCATAATCCGACTTCGATTAGGTTTCATCTCTTAGAAAGTAATTTCATGTAATTTTTTATTTCTTTTAATTAAATATATTTTAAATTAATTGGTTTTTTTTCGATCCTCCGGCTGCAGTAAACGTATTTAGTACAAACTTTCTCAGACAACAACATAACAAGCTAAACATCATGGTATCTTACGTAGTTCTAATAAGAGTGCTTTTACATCAAAATTGTATAGTCTGTTGAAACTTACTTCATCTTGATCTTCAGCACAGTTTTCTTATCAGGTCGCTCCAAGTACCCGTTTCCTTCCACATAAGGCTGCTCCTCGAAGGTCTGGTAGGCATACTTCTCTGGGAGCAGCATGGTCTTGTCTTCGGCTACATATTTTGTCTCTGGCAGGCCGTTGGCGTATTTTATGTCTTGGGCGATGTACCTGATGGAAAAAAAAAACAATTCGTAAGTAAGACATATTTGGACCTTATCAAAAGGGCACAAGGTTCAATAGCTGCATTCACTAAGTGTGATTAGCGATCACCGGTGTAGATCAGCTCTTTACAGTTAAGTCGTGGATTTTGAGCCTTATGACAATTGAATATGGTTTAAAATACCGTAACCAACATGATAGGCTTGGACAGCGTCAGTTATGCAATATTCGCCCTTCATACGAAGGAAAATACTGCTAGTGGCTAAGTCACATATAATGATATAAAGAGTCATTTTAGACCTTAACACAAGAGCATAAGGTTACGGTAGGTAACGTGACAGCCTGCATTCACCTGGTGTCTTTATCGAGCCGCTCTTTGCTGTTATTGGACTCTAAGACAAGGACTCAAGGTTCTAAACAGCTTAACTTACCTAGTGTCGGTATAGATCAGTTCTTTGCCATCAGCATAGTACTTTTCGGTGTAAGTCTTTTCTTCAGGCAACTCCTTGGGCTCCATCTTATAATGCGATAGTCGCTATTCGAACTTGAATCAAGCGAATAAAGGTACAAAATAGTGTAACTCACCTAGTGTCGGTGGAAATCAGTTTTTTGCCGTCAGCATAAAACTTTTCGGTGTAGTTTTTTCTTCAAGCAACTCGGCGGGGTCCATCTTATAATACGGTAGTCGCTTTTGGATCTTAACACAAAGGCATAGGGTTCAGAATAGCGTAACTCACCTAGTGTCGGTATAGATCAACTCTTTGCCGTCAGTATAGAACTTTTCTGTGTAAGTTTTTTCTTCAGGCAACTCCGCGGGGTCCATCTTATAATACGATAGTCGCTTTTGGATCTTAACACAAAGGCATAGGGTTCAGAATCGCTTAACTCACCTAGTGTCGGTGTAAATCAACTCTTTGCCATCAGCATAGAACTTTTCGGTGTAAGCCTTTTCTTCAGGCAACTCCTTGGGCTCCATCTTATAATACGATAGTTGCTTTTGGACTTTAACACAAAGGAATAAGGTTCAGAAAAGCTTGACTTACCTAGTGTCGGTGTAGATCAATTCTTTGCCGTCAGCATAGAACTTTTCAGTGTAAGTTTTTTCTTCAGGCAATTCCGCGGGCTGCGCCATATGCTTGATTGGCTTGGGAAGCTTCAGCTTATTATACGACAGTCGCTTTTGGACCTTAACACAAGGGCATACGGTACAAAATAGCGTAACTCACCTAGTGTCAGTGTAGATCAGTTCTTTGCCGTCAGCATAGAACTTTTCGGTGTACGTTTTTTCTTCAGGCAATTCCGCAGGCTGCGCCATATGCATGATTGGCTTTGGAAGTGTCAATTTTAGAGACTTCTTAGCGCTCTGCTGCTTTCGGGAGTGAGACTGCTTGCTGGGAGATGTGGTTTTGAGTTTGAAGTCCTGGGAATAAGTAGGTAGATTAGGGTCAGTTCACTGATGGGGATATGTTGAAGCAAAATTAAATAGTAAACCACCAGGTAATTTTTCATTTTAAGTGTGCAAGCTTATCTTATAATGCAAGACGTACAATTTAGGTTAATTTCACAATAAAAATCTAATCTTTTACAGATCAATTAATGCATAATTTTTCACAAGAATCTACGAATGTATTTTTCAAATACATAATACTTGTTTTCTGGTAACACCAAACTTTATTAACACGTGTCCGACTTCCAAGTGAATAAAGTCCGTTGTTCTCTTATGAGTGGATTTTTCAATCATCAGACAAATATGATGTTAGATATTTATACAAAAAAAAAATGTACAGACGACGGCACGTCAACGTAACCACTGTGGGTTCTTGTGCAGTTGTAATAGGGGCGAGTTTGCTACAAAAATGGGTAGCCTGATGTGCTGTCGTATGTACATAAAATGTACAATATTATACTTATAAAATTACCTTGTCCTTATTGGCAGCACTGGCAGAGCGCTTCTCGAGGGTCCTGAGTTCTTTACACAACTCCCGCACCAGTTGACCAGAGTTGAGGCATTTTGGAACGTTGTCTCGCTTCGCTGCGTCCGTCTGTAAACACATACAGTAAATAAGTGTAGGTCCTCCACATTTGAGATCACAACTGTGAAATTGATGACTTGCACCAACATTTACTTTGACAGTAACTTTAAAAATAATCGATGTTTTTGTATGGACTTTTGACGTTTATAAAGTTAAAATAAGATGGTGAAACTCAGCCTTAGCAAACGGTGACCTCAAGAAGATAACTGACACGTATAGATGACCCACGCTGAACTGTCCCACCAAACTCAATGACAGGGGGGCGCTACCATCGTTCAACTATATGGTTTCCCACATGGCAAACAATTTTAACTAGCGATCCGGTATTGACGGTGGCGCCCCACTGTCAATGTCATGCATAGGACAGTTCAGTATTTTGGAACTATAGTGCCTTGCAATAGGCTAGTTGACATTACCAATCACATGTCAGAAAGGTGTCAATCTCCCAAAGATTTTATCATGGGAATAAAAGCTGACATCAACAATCTTTTGCCAACTAGTTTTAAGGACTTGAATGAATCTTCTGACCGACTTCTGGGGAATGTCGCTTGAAGTACAGTCGCAGTTTGAAAAGGTTCGTCACCTTAGTGTCGGTTTTCGCTTGCACTAGGTACTGTAAGAGTCAAACCTGCCAACATAACAGTGCAAGAAACAGTGCTGCTAACATTTAAATAAATATGACGTTTGCTAACATTATAGTTCCAAAATACTGGACTGTCCTGTCGATGACATTGACAGTGGGGCGCCACCGTCAATACCGGATCGCCGGTTCAGATTTTTGCCATGTTGGAAACCATATAGTTGAACGATGGTAGCGCCACCCTGTCATTGAGTTTGGCGGGACAGTTCAGCGTGGGTCATCTATAATAAGGTTTTGCTTGTTTATTTTTCTATCCCATCAGTGCAATGCAATGATGAAATTGACCAATTGACAATAGTTTTTTTTTTATTTAATAAAAATAATAATGGCAGGTTGAACCAACAAGAAGGTTTTAGTTTATCAATCATAATAATCTTCTTGACAAGATAAATCGTCAAACAACTTTGATCTGAATAATTTTGAACTTTACTGACGAACAGTTAAAGATTATTTTCTCTAACTCGAGATTATTCTGTAACATAAGTTTCAAAAGGTAATATGAGCTCGCGATTCGTTGAAGGAATCAATTTGAAAACTGACGAACCTTTTCATTCCGTGACTGTACCTGGATGCGAGTAGCGCCGTAGCAGGACCGGTCGTTATTCAAATGGCAATGCCAGATTTTGTATGGAAAGTGGCGTCTTTTTTTTTTCGCTCGGCCATCGACCAAACTTTGTTTTTTGATTACAAAATAGTGTAATAAACCAAACTTACTACGGCATGTATACCTCTAAACTCAGTCTGAACTGAGTTACGAGCAATAGAAGTTTGATGATTTTCATACTAGATTTGCTTTTTGTGCGCAAGTTTTGTAATAAATTGCAACAAAATATTGCGCTATTTTTTATTGCACTCATTCTGCTCCATACTGATGTCTGGAGCCTTTAATTGTTTGTTTACACATACAATGTCACTATTTTGTTGCAATTTTTTAGCAAACTTTGCGCGCAAAAAGCAAATCTAGTATGAAAATCATCAAACTTCTAATGCTCGTAACTCAGTTCAGACTGAGTTTAGAGGTATACATGTCATAGTAAGTTTGGTTTATTACACTATTTTGTAATCAAAAAACAAAGTTTGGTCGATGGCCGCGCGAAAAAAAAAAGACGCCAATTTCCGGCATTGTCTTTTGTCTTGATTCCAGCCAGTCCAGAACTCCTAGGTTCTTCTGATTGATTTCGTTGCTGGTTCAATGTCAGTTTAATATTCCCAATGGAGGTCTTTTAGATGAAATGACGATGCTATCCACTACTTAACGATAATGGCCGCATAAGGATGATGACTGGGTAATGAAATCGAAATTCTATTTAGTCCGTCAGACAGATAATAAAAAAATTTAGAACACATATTTTTGTTTTTTTTTTTCATAATCGAATAATAACAGTATTATATTGAGTTGAAATGTCGCGTGACATCTATTCCGAGTTAAAATTCTACTCAAGCGTGACGTAACGCGCCATTTCAACTCGATGTAGCACTGTTATTATTTAATTATGAAAGATAATAAAAAATATGAGTCTAATATTTTCTAATTATCTGTCTGACGGATAAATAATTGAAATTTTGTCATCTAGCCTATTGATGATGTTTACAACTCACACTCTTAAGCGCGTGCCACTCCTTAAGCGCATTCGAGAGAATCTTGATCCCTCGCAGCAGCAGCGGCGGCAGTTGCGCAGGCGCCGCCGTCACTACCGTCTCTCCAAGTGTGAAGTCTTCGTCCTGGGGGCACACATGCATTGTTTTTACATTATACAGGGTGTTAGGTAAATGGGTATATGAGCCGACACTAGCCAATGTTAACATGGTCATATAAATGGTATGGTGAAGTCAGAAATTTGATATCATCATTTTTTATTTTTTTATTTTCATACAAAATAAATTTTATAAAATCCGATTTGTATGAAAATTAAAATAATTAAAATGAAGATATCCATTTTCTGACTTCACCATACCATTTATATGACCATGTTAACATGGGCTAGTGTCGGCTCATATACCCATTTACCTAACACCTTGTATACTTCCACACCAGCGCTACTTGCTGGGAGCAATTTAGCTAAAGAAGACATTGATGTCTTTGCTGACTTCGAACTAAGCAAAAGTATGTGCTAAACGTTAGTTTGTAATAGCTATTTTTCTACCAAAACACTAATCGTATGACGCACTCATAAATTTCCCTAAACATAAGCCTGCACACGTGACGTGGTAACGATTATATTTAACCATGTGAAGTGATGAGTGTACCTAAACACGGTTAGTGTACCTAAACACGTGGTGAGTATACCTAATAAAGTGGTGAGTGTACATAACCACGTGGTGAGTGTACCTAACCACGTTGAATGCGTTTAAGCAAGTGGTGAGTGTACCTAACCACGTGGAATACGACTAAGCATGTGGTGAACATTCCTAACCACGTGGTGAGTATACGTAAGAGCTCTTACACACGAGCAGCACATTGACGACAGCAAAGGCGACCGCAGTCGCCGTCACTTGTCGGCAGCTAGCCGTCGACGTGCCCGCAGCAAGCTGTTGACACGTCGACGGCAGACGTCGACGAGTCGACAGCTTGCTGCGGCGACCGTGTCGGCGTACGTCTTTGTACAGGAGCCAGCCAGTTGAAAATGGATTTTATTGAAGAAACACTGTTGTTGCATTTACTCCGTCGTCGTCGACGAAAGAGAAAGAACCGGTCATTGTGGGTTTAAGAAATGTTATTGAATAGAGAACGAGACTACACACACCGACGCCCATGCTCTATTTTTTAATGTTTTATTATGGTAGCCTTCTAAATTCGAGTTCCATATTATTTCATTGTTTTTGACAGCACTAATTTTTTAGCAGTTCCGAATCAATTTGTTCGGAACTCATTAGGTGTGCGTGTAAGCTCCTGGACTACTGACAGTTGACCTTCAAAATGGCGGAGGCGGCTAGCTGTCGCCACCTGCCGGCGGCAGCCGCGAACGCGTCGACAGCACGTCGGCAGCATGTCGACAGCTAGCCGTCGCCTTCTGACGTCGACTGCAGTTACATGCGTCGACAGCAAAATGCTGTTCGTGTGTAAGAGCTCTAACCACCTGGAATGCGCCTCAGCATGTAATGAGTATACCCCCGTGGAACGCGCCTAAGCACGTGGTGAGTGTACCTAAATGCGTACTGAGTGTACCTAAATGCGTACTGAGTGTACCTATGCACGTGGTGAGTGTACCTGACCACCTGAACAATCTGGTGAGTGGACCAAAACACGTTGTGAGTGTACCTAACCACTTGGAACGCACCTAAGAACGTGGTGAGTATACCTAAGAACGTGGTAAGTGTACCTAACCACTTGGAATGTGCCCAAGCACGTGTTGAGTGTACCTAACCACTTGGAATGTACAGTCACGGAATGAAAAGGTTCGTCAGTTTTCAAATTGATTCCTTCAACGAATCGCGAGCACATATTACCTTTTGAAACTATGTTACAGAATAATCTCGAGTTAGAGAAAATAATCTTTAACTGTTCATCAGTAAAGTTCAAAATTATTCAGATCAAAGTTGTTTGACGATTTATCTTGTCAATAAGATTATTATGATTGATAAACTAAAACCTTCTTGTTGGTTCAACCTGCCATTATTATTTCTTTTAAATAAAAAAAAACTGTTGTCGATTGGTCAATGTCATCATTGCATTGCACTGATGGGATAGAAAATTAAACAAGCAAAACCTTATTCGTTAGCAAACGTCATATTTATTTAAATGTTAGCAGTGTGCCTACCATGAGTTTACGTTAGGTGAGCTCGCTAGCGAATACGTCAAAAAATTATATGAAGATTTTATTTCTTGAAAGTAGCCGCTAGGGGCGCTGCACAATATGTCATACATTTAAATGTCATTTTTTTACGCAGTCGCTAGCGAGCACACCTAACGTAAACTCATGGTAGGCACACAGCACTGTTTCTTGTACTGTTATGTTGGCAGGTTTGACTCTTACAGTACCTAGTGCAAGCGAAAACCGACACTAAGGTGACGAACCTTTTCATTCCGCGACTGTACTCAAGCACGTGTTGAGTGTACCTAACCACGTGAAGTGTACCCAAGTACGTGGTGAGTGTACCTAACCACTTGGAATGTACCCAAGCACGTGGTGAGTATACCTAAAAACCTGGAATGCACCTAAGCACGTGGTGAGTGTACCTAAACACACGGTGAGTGTACCTAAACACGCGGTGAGTGTACCTAAACACACGGTGAGTGTACCTAACCACGTGGTGAGTGTACCTAAACACGCGGTGAGTGTACCCAGGCACGTGGTGTATGTACCTGCGTCTCCTCGTTGTGGCGTCGCAGCATTGTGAGCAGGTGCGCGCCGGCGTACCAATGCATGGCCTCGAACAGCGGGTAGCGGAACATTACTGGTGTTTCCACGCGGCGCTCGATCTCGTAGATTCTGGAAAAAAATTGTTTCATTGAAGCGATAACACTATTCCCACTACTTGTTCCCACCGCTGAATTTCTATGTAGCTAGGTTCGTTCGTTTCAGCCAAGGATTTCCACAAAGACCGGTGTTGGAATAGACAATGTAATTATTTATTATGTCGGCAACACTGTGCTCTGTGGTTGTATGCGTTGTAACGTGTGTCTCTAATAAAACTGCAAATTTTCTAAGAAATATCACTTTATTATTCATAATCCCATAAATCTGCTAATAACCGGTCCTGCGCCGCTCGCATCCAGGCACCTCCCGCGACCCTCACCAGATCGTCGGTCCACCTAGTGGAAGGCCTGCCCACGCTACGTCTTCCGGCTCGTGGTTGCCAGTAGTCGTCACTCAAGAACTTTTCTGCCCCACGAGCTACTCTACGAGCTATGTGCCCCGCTCACTGCCACTTGATTTTAGCGATTCTGCGGGCTATGTCAGTCACTCTGGTTCTCCTACGGATCTCCTCATTTCTGATTCAATCACGAAACATCAATTGTTTCAAATAGAGTGAATGTCTATAGACAGTTAAGTTAATGTAGATAACGTCGGTGATTCACAGCTTACGCTACATTTTAGTTTCTGACTTAGATGTTGAGTTAGCCAGCCAGCAGTAAGCCGCTCATAGTCTGTCATTCAAATAGTCACGCTTGTCTTGTACATGACAACATCAGTCCACTACAGTCCACTTAACGTGAACACAGCCTGAAGCTCGACTTAGACTTCTAATGCAACAAATACTCACTGCAGCTGCATCTCAATCGCATATGAATGAAGAAAGTTTCCTCCAAAGACCAGCGAGTCACAGGGCGTCAGCACGGCATGCAGCCAACCGCTAGGGATGAATAGCGTCTGTCCTGCGCACAGCTCGGCTGTACCGTACCACTCCACCTGGTGAACAAACATGAATATGACAGCTGTTATACTACTACACCTGACGCACAAAGACTGTCAGATTTGAAAATATAAATGTAAACAATGCTAAGCGGCTGCCGAATTCCGGATCTACTTATTTTAAAGAGAATTGGTGTTTAGTTTAAAGAGAACGCAGCGCGGGCGTAGCGTTGTTTAGTTTAAAGAGTTGGTGCGCCGCGCCTCGAGAGACGCTATCTGGGAATCCCCTTACTCAATAGGCTTACAAAGGTTGTAGTAATATACATAACTAAGTCGATGCTATGTAGACTAAAGAATCATTTATCAATTCATCCAGTGTCTAAGTAGCTCAGTTGGAAGAGCAGTCGCCCGGCAAGCGGAAGGTCGTGGGTTCAATTCCCGCCTTAGGCAGTTCGATTTTTTCAAGTTATTTATAATTTTCAAATTAGACTAAAGAAGTTGTTTAGAAAACGAATTAGGCTGCCGGATACCAAAATAACTTCAAATCATGTAGACAGTGTAAGAAATGACTGAATAATAATAATAGTATCAATTACTCAACTCACCATATCGCCGAAGAAGCGTTCATTTTGATTGTTCGAGGCACTCCACTGCTGGTATAAGGCAAGATTTGTAGACGTTGGAGGCACTAGGTAGAATATCTGAAACAAAACACACGTAAGTCACCAAATAATTGAAATTTTAAAAGTGAATGTAATAAGTATGTCTGTTTTTCAGGTAACTGCATTAACCAAAAATAGGGACTGATTTTGAGTGAAATTTCATTGGATTAGTATCTAAGTACAGACGAAACGAAACATACCATCTGAAATGGGTGAAGGTTTGCAACAAAAATACTACTTTGAAATAAAAGAGTGATCAGCGGGGTTACTCCGACAAACGTTATCCGAAGTTTCGAATGTTGCTATACCTCTCACGCAAAGCGAGATGCCAGCGCGTGCAACAGTGACAGATAGACCCAAAACTACGTAAACGGTGTTTCAGAGTAGCCCTTCTGTATCGCTTGAACACTAAGAAGCGCCCTACAACGCCAAAAATCATCACGTACCTTTCTGCCATGCAGCACGTGATACCACACGGTGGTGCCGCCGAAGTCGACGTGGAAGTCTGTGTAGGCCCCCGCGGGGGACATCAGGCAGTAGCGCTGGACGGCGGGCCGGGGGGCCCCTGAGGCGGGGGGCCACGCGCGCTCCGCCCAGTCCAGGCGCCGCGCTGCCGATGGGGGCTCCACTAGCGGCGCCATACTGGGGGCGAGATAAAGCTAGTTTAATCTTTGCTAAAGCCTGGTCCGTGAGCACGTAGAATTTTGTCCAATGACCCCTAGCTACCCATCCTTATCGCTCGCGCGTAATTATATTGCTGTCGCGACTGTGCGACGCGCGCCCGCAGCGAGTGTGCGAGCGCGACAGTAACATAATTACGTGCGAGCGATATGGATGGGTAGCTTGGGGTCATTGGACGGGATTCTATGTGCTTTAGTTTAATCTTTGCTAGCAATCAGCGATCAACTACTAAGGCTGGGTTACAGCATCTTACTTCAACTTTAACATACGCCAGAAATCTTTCAACATCCATACAAAAAGCACCGGTTATCGTTATAGTTACGTACAGTTAAAGTTAGGCGGTGTAACTCAGAATAATATTAGGGCCACAACAGCCTAACACAGCCGCAGTAGAACACTTACATACTGCGGGTTTGAGGGTCGTTTGACTGCGTCATGAATGTTCTATTCCTTTGTTTTCTAATTATTGAGTGCATTGGAACAACTAAGTTCACAAACCCTAGTGTTAAAACTGGCAATGAATGGCTCAAACAGACTGATATCTCTTTACTTAATAAAACAAAGTCATAAATTTTTTAGACATTTTAAACATTGAAGCTCGTGATTTCAGAGACATTTAATTTAATAGTATTTAAGTATGTTTATATCCGTTGACTGATACCCATAGTACAAGCTTTGCTTAGTTTAATACTAGAGGCGCAGTGTAAAATGTCCAAAGATATTTATTATTATTATTATTTCTAGCTCTTTTTTCTTCAATCCCTACTGCTGCCAAACTGATAACCCTATCTTCAAAATCCCTAAAGCAACCGTTCATGGTTAATGGTTATGTAAACGATCAATGAGCATACTCACTTGGTGTCGGAGAACTCCAAGCTGAGCACATTGAGGACCTTCTCGTCCCTATGCTCGGGCGGCGTCTCGAAGTAGTCCACGAAGTCCCCCAGAGGCATCCGCAGTGTGGACTGCTTGCGGACGTCTATCACTTCCACCTGGGGAACGAAATGAGGGGTTAAAATAAAGATGAGAGCAAAGGGAATGAGGGCTATCGTTTTAACGCTCACCAGTTAGCGCCACTGTAGAGTAAGGTCCTGTCACTTGCTAGTAACGAAGACAGTGGCACCAACTGGTGAGCGCGAAAGTGGTAGGAGGACTATCGCATTTGCACTCATCAAGATGGCGCCACTGTAGAGTAAGGCCCTGTCAATCGCCAGGGGTGCCAACTGTTAAGTATAAAAACGATAGCCCTCATTGTATCAGAATGTTGAATATTACAAATACAACTTTTGAGATTCTAATTTGAATCCTTTAGGAGGAAAACTTGCACTACTGCGGGTTTCCTCTAACAGACGACTGATGTCGTATGCCGGAAGCTCACATTTTTTGATTTTGATTTCACTATGCCATCCAAGTAAGAATGTTTTGCGCATCACTAAAATATGTTCGCAATTTGATAAAACAGTGCCAAGTATATTAACGCCATTCACGAGATCTTATCTTGGAATATTGCGGTGGCAAATCACACAAGTCCAAAAGAATAAACTCACCTCTAACTGAGCGCCACAGAACCTCAGCACAGACCTCACAGTAAACGTGGCTGCATTGGGCAACTTCATATCCAGCCCTTCGCTCGAGTGGAATATCACCGGTCTGTTGAATCCGTCATCCCGGACCAGTTCCTCTGTGAAGTGAACCGCTCGCATACGGTGCAACGCTGCTGGTACGGGACGTAGTGGCCTGGCTGCTAAGGCTCGGACCCATGCCGGGGTCCCCACTTGAGACGGTCGGGTCTCTGCGCCGAGCTCGTAACGGTCTGCTCGGTGGTTGTTTGTGGGGATTTTTACTAAAAAATTAAAATCAAAATAAGATCACAATAAGCCTAGACGCAGACCACCGATTTTTCGTCGGCCGTTAGTTTAGTTGGGCAGTTAATCAGTATGAACGTGTATGGAAGTGCGCACATTACACAGATTTGATTTTCATACACTTTAAAATCGGGCCCAACTATCGGCCGACGAAAAATCGGTGGTCAACGTCTAGGCTAAGAGCAATGAAATAGGAAAATTTATGAAAAGAATATGGCCTAAATTAAGTAATATGGAAAGACAAAAAAGAAGTCAGGTTTCACTAGGAAACTACTTAGTATAATTCATAATCAAGCAAGTAGGTTTCCTATAATATCATAAAATAGTCCTCACTACAGGCAGTAACATATCACTTTATTTCTTACAAGAATCTGTGTACTAATAACTCATACCTATTGACGATGCAGCAAAAAATAAACTTGACAAATAATGATGGCATCTAATGCCATTTTTTCTCACGACTCAAGGTCAACTTATAAAAAGCCGGTTACTGACAGTCAACATACATAAAGTGTGAAGTGCATTTCATAGTTTTTAATATGTCTATGCAAATATTGTATTACGAAATAGCAAATAAACGTGGTCAGCTTGCTAAATGATATTGAATGCAAGTATCAGCAGTTAAAAAACTTTTTTGCAGCAAATAAATCAACTTTTATCGTTTGCAAGGCTTTTGGGCTATTTTTATGAAATATCCAGATGATGGCACCTCAAGGTTGACACTAAGGTTTTTTGCAGTTACAATAGAAGCCAATTTGCAACAAAAATGGGTGAGATGTGCTGTTGTCTGTGGGCGTAGTGCGAGTTTACACCAAACACATACAACATCCACAGCGTTTAAAATATGCATGAAAATTTTAGTTCTTGAAAGTTTCTGCTAGGGGCACAGTACAATCCGTCATACATTTTAAAGTCACCTTTTTACGCAGTCACTAGTGAAGATGTTGGATGTAAACTCTCACTAAGCCCTCTGTAGATGGGTGAGACTATTATCAGGCCTGTTCATCTCCGCGAGTTTACATCGAAAACAAAACACGCACGATAGCCCCCTACAAGAGTACTATTCGACAAGGCCTCACATACGAGCGAACATTGACTCACGCACGCGTATTCTTGTGTATGATGGAAAAAAATAAAGAAAATGGTGTACTAAATACTGTGCAGTATTTAACTGCCTAAATAATAATAAAAACACAGAATGCACTTTTTTAAGTTGCCTGAAGACACTGAGAGGTAAATAAGTAGTTAATATTATTCATGATAATTCATGCTAATTCATGTATTTCCTCCACCATTTTCTGCAGATTGGCACCTCACGTCACATCATTTTACCGAAGTCAGCCCTATAGCTTCGGCGCAGTACCGATCACTGATGTTTGTCAACAAAACTTCTGACAAAGTTGCTTGACTCTTGAGACAAGCTAAATTACACCATATTGTTAATGACATTGAGCATACATTTTTTTAAATACCTTCGCGAAGTAAAACTTCTGTACGTAGTACTTATTATTATTCTGTGCTATTATTATCCAGCAGTAAACACCATGAAGCTGATTTTTAACACTAAGAAACCATAAATTAATTGTTTACCAGTTAGATTCTAAGATAACTTATACTTACACACTGAAGGTCCGTATGTCTGGGCACATTTTGGGCAATGGTACTTGTCTATGTCATCGGAGTGGTAGATCTTTACGTCTACACAGCTGCAAATAAAATATAAATGGAGTAAACTTTGTGTTAATAAATAAACGGTAAGGGACTTCACCAATGGACTGAAATCTATGCTACAAAGAGAGGTTTATGTTTAAGTTATTTGTTGTAGCATCAAAATGCACTTAATTTAATTGGATAGGATTATAACTAGGGTTTTTTTTATTTACAACATATACATTTCGTCTAGCAGTAGGAATTCAATTTGGAATCCAATTAGTATACTATGGTATGACCAAATCATCCATTATAACTATTATCACACAGTCCCATTACTTCAACATGATTGATGGTGCACACGAGGCCACAAATGGACAGAGCTATGCAAAAGAACATTGTACTGTTAATTACTTCTGACAGGAATCCCTTTTAAAATGGTATATTCGTTCTAGTTAGAAATTACTGTCTTATACCAGAATAAATACTTACAGAAATGATACAAACTAATCTATGTATGAAATAGTAACACTACTTACTAGAAAATATATAAATAAACACAAAGAAGCGAGTGGAAGTACCGCGAATGAGTCCCATGGTGACCATAAATGTAAACAAACTAGAACAACAAGGAAATCACCAAAACCACTGATCATTATCAGCACCACACCGAAAATATGCTTTATAACACAGATTCCAGTCCTTGGTTGGAGTAGAAACACCAAAAATTAAACAAAACATTCACACAGAAAATGATGGCCGAAGGGCCGAGTGCTGTCAAACTTGATCACATCTTTTTTCACACGTAACGAGGTTTTCAGTGAAAAATTTATTTAGATTTCACATTACCTGCCATGAAACCATTCACGACAGCAGTCACATTCTATCATAAATTGTCCAATATTATATGGTTGACCACACAAACAATAGGTTTCCTTCGATGACGCCATTTTAATGGCGAATAGACAATTTCATTCTTTTTTTTCCACTCCACGTTGACTTGGGATTGGAACGGAGTGTTGAGCAATTTCAAGGCATAGACAATTTTTTTTACACATTTATAAACAGTAATTTTTAGACACAATTAAATTAATTTCATTGATAAATCAATTACATCCTTATTGTTAAAGTATATTGTAATTTTATGGCTAATTAAATCATTTACATAAGTTTAGAAGACATTTTGGTAACGCCTACCAAATATTTAATAGCAATATTACTCCATCATGCTATTGTAATCAAAATTCTGCGAGGATAGAAAAGACGACTTATGAACATTATTCTTTACTGAATGTTTATGAACATGGTTGTATCATTTTTTTTTTTCTCTTTATTTGAGTAAGTATCAATTATAGTAATTGAGGATATATTTCAGATGTTAGAACAAGACACCTTCGATATACCTACATGGGACAATCCTGGAGCAGCTTGTAGGTGCTTGTAGCGCAAATACTAGGTACAAGTACGTACTAGGTAACAAGTGTAAAGTACAAACTCTTTCAGGATCATTATCCAACAAATTAAGACGAGACGTGTTATTATAATGCAACCAATATCGTTATTTTCACGTCGTCCCCGGTCTCTCTCAGTTCAGCTTCAGTGGAGACAGTAATCCAGATCAGGCTCTGGTTTGGCGCAAATACATTAAACCAGCTAAGTACATATCTATTTATTCTATCTATGCTGGCCGCCGCCTCGTCTCCGCTTTGGTGGAAAATAGAACTCGATTGATGAGAGACAAAATATTTCATTTAGGTTTATTGTCCTATCATTGACTAAAAACTACTTAGGTAGCTCAGTTCAGAATTGTACATAAAATATTATAACGACTAGGTATTCTAAGTACATACCTCTACCTACCTCACAGAAATAAGTGATATTTAGGTACTTATTATNCTTGGGCTATCCGAATCACCGCGACTTTTGTTAGTTTTCGAGTTATGATTTTCTTTTACAACATACAGAACTTTTAACGTTTTTAGTTTGCATTCGTGTTACATATGGATGTAAATACTTATGCATCAGCTAGGCCTAGTATTCATCCAATAATAATAAAAAAATCAGACATGTAACTTGACTATTCGCGCCACAGTGACCAAAAAAGTGCCTAAGCACAGAAATTTAAAACAATTATAACTCGAAAACTATCAAAAATTGCGGACCAACATGGGGGTGATTCGGGTAGCTACTGTTGCTCTACCTCTGGGATTCGGCTTGACACTACTTTTTGGGACACCCTGTATATTGCAGTGAGAAAAATAATGCATGTTGTTAAGGAATTACCCACTTACTTACTTACCTACTCACTTTGTATGTTTTTCACGACCTCGGAACTGTTAAACTTTCAAAGTCCTACAGTAAGAAGTTCTGTAAGTATTTCACGATTAAAGACCCACCGAAATCATCGAATCATAACAATTTTGCTTAAAAGTAAGAGAGGGTTTTTTATCCAAAATGTAAGCTCCATCCATGTCACCTGATGGAAAATGATGATCAGAACGAAGATGGATGCGATCTTCACCCTGAATCCTGGTTTTCTTTTACCGAGTCGCCTTTTTGACCCATTTGGGTCTACTTAGCTAGGTGATTGTTGCATTTAGTGGAATAATTAATCATTATTATCTTCGGTCGAGATTTCCGTCGTAGACTGTAACACGCAGGCATCCAATGTCGCTTAATCTGATTTGACAAGAAATAAGCAAATAAACAAAAAACTAAGTACATTGCAAAGTCTGCTGTGTCGCCGTAGTTCAATATCAAGATCAAGGGCAACTATTGCCCCTGTTGGTAGTTACAAAAAATGTTGTTTATAAAGGAATGAAGAAATCGCAAAATGACATCGCAAAAAGGTGGGCACCTGGGCACGTTGTTGTACTTATCTACGTTTAAAAAGAGGAAAAAATAGAAATTTGGTGATGTTGTTGTAGTGGTTGTAGACTTTGATAACGCATAAATGATTATGTAATAAGACCAATAACAATAATAAACCGTTCACTCAATTTATTGTTAATATTTTTTGCATCTAGCTTTAATGTTTGGTGCTTAAATTTATGCGTAAGCGCACCTTTTGGCCAGTCACAACTTTACAATTACGGGTAAAAAATCTGTGATACAAAAATCGAACAAAATAAAAACCGATAGTAGGAAACGTAATATAACCAAGGCCATGTCAATCAGAAGTTACTAACTTATATTAAATTAAATCGTTTTTCAGGCAGTTTTTTAGGATACTAAAAAGTTCGTTATCTAGCAGATCAAGCTAGGCTTCAGTGTGTGAGTATAATAAGTGGGTTACCTACGCCATATCGAATGACAAATGATCGAAAATCAAAATATCGAATACGTTTCATCGAACGATCAAAATATCGAACGATCAAAATATCGAATGGTCAAAATATCGAATGTTCAGAATATCGAACCATCAAAATATCGAACGATCAAAATATCGAACGATCAAAATATCGAAAGTCGATATAGACGTTTTTATTAAATTTCATCACGCATCATTTCTGAACTTTCCTTTTTGGGACAGGCTAGGCTTATAATAGGTCCCCACGGACATTATTTCTCAAAATTTATAAACTTGAAGTAATGATGCATGATGAAATTTAATAAAAACGTCTATATCGACTTTCGATATTTTGATCGTTCGATATTTTGATCGTTCGATATTTTGATGGTTCGATATTCTGAACATTCGATATTTTGACCATTCGATATTTTGATCGTTCGATATTTTGATCGTTCGATGAAACGTATTCGATATTTTGATTTTCGATCATTTGTCATTCGATATGGCGTAGGTAACCCACTTATTATACTCACACACTGAAGCCTAGCTTGATCTGCTAGATAACGAACTTTTTAGTATCCTAAAAAACTGCCTGAAAAACGATTTAATTTAATATAAGTTAGTAACTTCTGATTGACATGGCCTTGGTTATATTACGTTTCCTACTATCGGTTTTTATTTTGTTCGATTTTTGTATCACAGATTTTTTACCCGTAATTGTAAAGTTGTGACTGGCCAAAAGGTGCGCTTACGCATAAATTTAAGCACCAAACATTAAAGCTAGATGCAAAAAATATTAACAATAAATTGAGTGAACGGTTTATTATTGTTATTGGTCTTATTACATAATCATTTATGCGTTATCAAAGTCTACAACCACTACAACAACATCACCAAATTTCTATTTTTTCCTCTTTTTAAACGTAGATAAGTACAACAACGTGCCCAGGTGCCCACCTTTTTGCGATGTCATTTTGCGATTTCTTCATTCCTTTATAAACAACATTTTTTGTAACTACCAACAGGGGCAATAGTTGCCCTTGATCTTGATATTGAACTACGGCGACACAGCAGACTTTGCAATGTACTTAGTTTTTTGTTTATTTGCTTATTTCTTGTCAAATCAGATTAAGCGACATTGGATGCCTGCGTGTTACAGTCTACGACGGAAATCTCGACCGAAGATAATAATGATTAATTATTCCACTAAATGCAACAATCACCTAGCTAAGTAGACCCAAATGGGTCAAAAAGGCGACTCGGTAAAAGAAAACCAGGATTCAGGGTGAAGATCGCATCCATCTTCGTTCTGATCATCATTTTCCATCAGGTGACATGGATGGAGCTTACATTTTGGATAAAAAACCCTCTCTTACTTTTAAGCAAAATTGTTATGATTCGATGATTTCGGTGGGTCTTTAATCGTGAAATACTTACAGAACTTCTTACTGTAGGACTTTGAAAGTTTAACAGTTCCGAGGTCGTGAAAAACATACAAAGTGAGTAGGTAAGTAAGTAAGTGGGTAATTCCTTAACAACATGCATTATTTTTCTCACTGCAATATACAGGGTGTCCCAAAAAGTAGTGTCAAGCCGAATCCCAGAGGTAGAGCAACAGTAGCTACCCGAATCACCCCCATGTTGGTCCGCAATTTTTGATAGTTTTCGAGTTATAATTGTTTTAAATTTCTGTGCTTAGGCACTTTTTTGGTCACTGTGGCGCGAATAGTCAAGTTACATGTCTGATTTTTTTATTATTATTGGATGAATACTAGGCCTAGCTGATGCATAAGTATTTACATCCATATGTAACACGAATGCAAACTAAAAACGTTAAAAGTTCTGTATGTTGTAAAAGAAAATCATAACTCGAAAACTAACAAAAGTCGCGGTGATTCGGATAGCCCAAGTGGTAGTGAATCTGATGCTCTACCTCTGGCTGGGCTTCGGCTTGACACTAGTTTTTGGGACACCCTGTATACAGGTTGGAAGCCAAAAAAACTTATCAAGCTTCCAACTTTACAATTAAATACTGCTTGAGTGCAACGTCTAAAAAAACTGCAAAGTGATCGAGGAATTTACTATTCAAGTTTCCGAAGTATAAATTAATTATTATAGGTACGAGGCACTAAGTAAGCTACTCATTTATTTGTACACAAAAGGAAAAAGAGATAGGTACTAAGGTATGTCTGTTTCCCGTGAGAAATAATTTATGCCAGCTTACGATTCGTCTTATTTATTTTTTTTCTTATCTAAGTACGCCTTTTTATTTATTATTTGTAATTTTTTTTTTCCATTTTGGAAACCATACAATTTTTTTTTGTTTAATAGTCCAGTCAAGGAATGCCTTAACGACGGTGTAGAGAGAAATCCGTGGAACACAATTTCTGACCTCGGGACTTTATTTAGCCTAGTTAGGTGGTGAACATAGCAAAAGTCCCCGCCCTTAGCCCTTGAGCCGGCAGGGAGAGGGGGCTTTAAAGGTACCACTTTTCGGTTTTTCGCTTAATCCTCGGAAACTATGCGTCCTAGTGACATGACTACTATGAACCAAAAAAAGCTTATTCAATTTGCTACAGGCGAGACCGTCAAGTTTTTCTATATCTTGTATAGTTTTTGCGGCATCTGCTCTAGAAGGTCTGTAAATTGGAAATTTAATTTTTGTCTTATATGTTCCTATCAGGAGAAAATCGACTAAATCAACATTGAGCAAACACTATAGACATGCAGGAGCATGTTAAGCCTAGTTCCAGGGAGGGGACTGCACTGTGCGTATATTTATACGAACCAATTGGAGCCACTTTTGACTCCTCATCATTCAAAAACTACTGTGCATTAACTCTTCAAATTTGGCTCATGTATTGAGACTTGCAAGATATACATCAGCTTTAAATTTCATAAATATACCTCAAACGGTTATTTAGGTATTGACGTTCAAAAATCGACATTTAGAACACTAAAATCTATCTATCACCTGTGAAATGTTAAAATTTACTGGTTTTTTATTTGTTCCTTTGTATTTACATAACTACCTTTCTGGATGCCAAATTTGAACCTTCGAGGTCATCTGGAAGTGGTTAGAATTTGTTATATAGGTCAGACATGTAGATTTTTGGACGTCAATACCTAAAGAACCGTTTGAGGCATATTTATGAAATTTGAAGCTGATGTATATCTTGCAAGTCTCAACACATGAGCCAAATTTGAAGTGTTAATGCACAGTAGTTTTTGAGTGATGAGGAGTCAATAGTGGCTCAAAGTGGTTCGTCTAAATATACGCACGGTGCAGTCCCCTCCCTGGAACTAGGCTTAACATGCTCCCGCATGTCTAGAATGATTGCTCAATGTTGATTTAGTCGATTTTCTCCTGATGGGAACATGTTAGACAAAAATAAAATTTCTAATATTACAGACCTTCTAGAGCAGATGCCGCGAAAACTATACAATTTAACAAAAAAGTTGACTATCTCACCTGTAGCAAATTGAATATGCTTTTTTTGGTTCATAGTAGTCATGTCACTAGGACGCATAGTTTCCGAGGATTAAAAGCGAAAAACCGAAAAGTGGCACCTTTAAACCCCCCTCTCCCCGCCGGCTCAAGGGCTAAGGACGGGGACTTTTGCTATGTTCACCTCCTAACTAGTCTAAATAAAGTCCTGAAGTCAGAAATTGTGTTCTACAGTTTTCCATCTATAATGCTTTATTGACTGGACTATAAGTTCAAAAGTTCTCTGATTAAAACAGCATTAAACGATAAATGAGGTGCACTGATATTTAATACATATCTACAATCTACAAGTATTGCATAGTAGAGTAAAAAAGTAAAAAGTAAAAGTAAAAAAGTATTTATTACTAAAAGATGTCACATTGTACAAATTATTCTGGCGGTCTCTGCACTCAGCAGGAAAGCTTATATCGCAGAATATTATCGTATTATGGCATCGATGGGTTAACCATGATCTTTTTGCAATGCGGTTCATCATTTTGTCTACCCTTTCCGGTAAACTAGGGCCAAATACCTAGAGTTAGCATAGCATAGCAGTTTAAATGGGACAAGTTAAAAACTTTCGTTCGTTTCAACCGAATGACGCCCACTGTTGTACAAAGGCCTCCCCCAGGGATTTCCACAAAGACTGATCCTGCGCCGCCCGCATCCAGGCACCTCCCGCGACCTTCACCAGATCGTCGGTCCACCTAGTGGGAGGCCTGCCGGCTCGTGCATGGTCGACAGCGACACTCGAGAACTTTTCTGCCCCAGCGGCCATCAGCTCTGTGCGAGCTGTGTGCCTATGTGTAAATAAATGTCATGATTTTTTATGGGACAAAGTCCCATCACCACACCATAGCTTATTGACCATAGTGTGGACAGTCATTATTATGTCAGAGGCTCTTGTGCAAAAATATGACGTACGAGTTGCACAAACGTCTCGATGATTGCGGACAAAAACCAGCGCGTGCGCGCCCTGAGGTAGTGAGGGGACATCGATGCAGTCGATGAAGTTATCGAGATATCGATGATCGGTGACAATGGTGAAAATATGATTGTGCATGTATGCCCAAAAGCAACGGCAACGATACCAGCATACTCGTTTGCCAGCAGTACAAAACAGATAAGGTAAACGGCTACTATGTAGTTCGTGATAGTACGTAAGTTCGTAAGTTTTTTTTCTAGCTCAAATTATAAGCAAATGGAATATTATTTATAAAAATTCTTCATTACTACAAAAACTCTATTATTTAACCTATCTAAAAAACCAAGTACCAACATTGTGTCTCCAAAAATGAGAGCAATACGAAGCTTCAAACTCACAGAGAGCCAAAAATAACCGTGCGGCGTGCAAAGGTTGCTCTCACCCTAAGGTTAGAACTCCAATTTCTTAAGCTTATAGAAAGGCGAAGGAACGCCCATTTGAATAAAACTTGTAATAGTGGTTTCATGTGTTCCTTGACAATTGATTTGGCTTAGAAAAAAGTTATAAAAAAAAGTAGAATTCCTTTAAAATTGCGATTAATTGACTCACGAAATAGCATACATATTATTTTTCGGGTGTCCCCTATTTCGTGACACTACCGAATCAAGGATATTATGGATAACATTTTGATGCTTGGTTTTTAAATAATTATTTATGATAATTTAAATGTAAGTTATGAAACAAATAATGCATTTATTTAAGTTTCTCATGATCTAAATTCGGTATATGTTTCGTTCACTAGAATTTATATGACACGAGTTTGAAGTTCACATAAATGACTAATTTTAAGATAAATTAGCATAAGTACTACCAGTGCAATTTTGGTTTTAATTCGATTTGTTTTATTTATCTTTGTTTATTTGTGTAATATATGGGATAGATAATAGTTAATTGACACAATTTGACAAAAATCCATGAATTTTACTTGTTGGAATAATCAATATCACGAAACAAGAAACCGTACCTATTAATGTTTCTTTTTTCCAAGTTCGTGATATATAAATGTATAGTGTTAGGTACTTTTATGATACATACCATCAAAGAAATCGACATATTTTTTAGTTTTTTTTAATACTGACCTACCTAAAAAAATTATTAATTACTTACTTTTTATTATGAATCATTGGCGTATCTGGGGTTATTTTCAGGGGGGCTACCCTCACTTGAAGCAGCTGCAGAGATGGGATTAGGGGAAAGGGGGGGGGCAGCCCGCCCCTCCCCCCCTCCACATTTCTAATGGATTGTATAAATATTTTCACATACTTATCGTCAGAAATAACAAATAAAATTTCATGGGTACGAAGGGGGGGGGGGCAGTCCCCCCCCCCCACATTTCTAATGGTTATATAAATATTTTCACATATTGTTAGAATTAACAAATCAAAATTTTATACGTAGGTACGTACCTAGCTAGACTCACATTATTTCTCATAAATATTTCAGGTAAGTAATATCGTCAATTTCACACAATTCATTTATTCTAAATGTATATTTTCGTATTTAAATTTATTAAACCTTTAATCATTATTAAAATATCCTAACTCGATCCATAAAACCTTATCCCGAAATAGGGGACATGAGTTCACGAACTTAGAATTAGAGCAAAATTTTATCACGAAACAGGATCCAAACAAGAGGTCCACAGAACATTAATATTTAAAAAAGTTCAAACTATATAACTTTTATTTATGTATTAAGTTACTGTCAAAAGACCAAAGTTTAGCACACAAAAGCTTTCATACTGATATCATGCTTGGTTATTTTTAAATAAAATGTTAAAGTCGTAAGTGCCTTAATATACCGAAGTAGGGGGCACTTACCTTAATCGTGTTTTTATTCTAACTTTGTAAATTATGTACTCGCATTTAGATTTATGTATTTTATCACCTTGCGCCTATGTGTCTAATTAACCAAGTCGTTAACCTGATCTACTCTACGTATTCCGTACTAACTGCTCTAATCTCCTGCAGTAACCATTGTTTCCGGAATTATCTTCTGAAGTTGATCTTCCTGTCGTTAGATACTTTTTGTCCTAAACCCTATTTCTGTTCCCAAACCCTTTTTATACGTGCGGTTCTTTAGCCATTCTTATTGATGCCAGCAATTTTCCATCTTTCATGTCATGGACAAACTCGTTGAAAAATAACGTAATACCATCACTACAGCAATTTCGCAACCTCACTCGATGCATCACAGCAGTCAAACGGTCGCCCGAGAGAAAACGAACGTTCGACTCGAGGCACTTTCCCCGCACTAGCCGCGTTTAAATTTTAAATTTTCATAAATAGAACTGAACTTTATGGTGCAATTCAAAATAATAGCGCACTTCCGCATCAATTTAGTGTTTTATTGATTTCTGTTTTTGTGTTGTCGATCAGTTATTAAAACCTGTTAGTTGTGAAAATGTGATCGATTTTTTTTAACAGTATTGTGTAATCGTTAAGACAATGTGAAAGTGAAATCCGTGGTTTTAAGAAAGGTAGGTGCTTAACGTGTTAACCAGTCAGTACTTAGTACTTGGTAGTACTGAGAACTTCTCCCACATGCCACATTTTAAAAAACGTGCTTGTGCTTTATCCAGTCGTTTGTCAATAAAGGCTCGGTTTGTTTGACCCAGACTGGAATCGAACTAGTGTCCACACATAAGGTGGCGCCCGCGCCGTTTCCGCGAACTTTCTTTATGTGTGCATTTACTAAGAACATACATTACTTCATGTTAACATCATCTTTTTTTTTTTTTTTCGTCGAAAATACATTGATTTGTATACCCACCAGCCGCGGGGGCGGTTAGTGGGTTATGTGGGGTTCTCCCTGCCAGAAGGGCAGGGCCTACCCACTAAAAACCTGACGTTGCCCTCGGTAGCCATATGAGTCGGGAACGCGGGCCATCACTATCGGCATTTTGCCTCAAGCATTCGTCCGCGTTCCCTGCTCGGCATTTCACTCGCTTAAACCAAGCCCAGCCCAACCAAGGCGTTATTACGCCTTCAACCTCCTGCGAGCGGCACGCAGGACACGTGCTGCGCCGTCGCGGCCTCTTTAGACGCCACCAGACACCCCCGTATCTGATGGCCGAGGCCTATTAGGAAGGGGCAGATGGAGGTCATAGAGCCTCCTTCTTTGCCCATGACGTCGGCGGCGGGCAATGGGTGCGTCGGGTGATGCTTCCCGCTCCCTCTCCGCCGCTTCCTTCTGTGAAATGACTGCTTCACAGAAGGTGAGAACTCCACGCCACGCCTCCTCTCCGTTGGTCATATGGTGGACTAAGACCGGTAGAGAGAGGTTATTTCCTATACATATATTGAGGGCCGCACGCTCATCCGCCCAAGCTGGGCATTCTTGGAGCGTGTGCTCAGCTGTATCCACAGTGTCAAGGTTGCAGTGATGGCAGCCTGGTACCTCTTCTCGGCCTATTCTGTGAAGGAAGGCCCCGAAACACCCGTGGCCTGTCAGTAGCTGGGTCATCCGGTAGGTTAGACGACCATGCCGACGTCGCAGCCACTCCGCTAGGACAGGCAGAAGTGCCTGCACAGTGCGACGCCCGACTTGACTAACGGCCAAGCGTCCTCTCCAGCATTCTAGGGCCATCTCCTCCAGCTCTTCTTTTTTAGCCTCATGTTAACATCATCCCTGAGGGAGGCCTTTGTCCAGCAGTGGACATCATTTGGCTGGAACGAATGAATGAATAGGTGTAAGCTCCTGGAGCCTGGAGCTTTTCGGCCTGACACGCATAATTCGTTCATATTTCCATGACAAAAAATGCTTTTTCAAGTTACTCCTTAACACATATAGCCAGGATACAGAAAGTCCCACCAATATCGGTACAGCCGTTTCGGATTACGAACATAAACACGGAGAAAATAGAGATAAATAGTATTTTTACAGAACTCCAGTAAACATGTTCCCACTATGCTCTCCACCAGTTTATAGCTTTTTTAGTAAAAGTAATGCAATGCAATCCATTTCAATTACTCGTCGTCCAAAAAAGGACATCTACTTACTTAGAAATCAGCAATCTAGAGTTTCCGTAACACTGCATTCCATAATTAATTAAATTGGATTCAAATACGTAAATATTAAGGAGAAATGGGACATTTATTGCCTTCTTTAGAAACTCGTGCGTGTAAAACTATTCGGACCATCCTGTACCTACTTGCACATAAAGGCACATATTATTATTATATCTTCAATTGATTTTGAGGCTTATACTGCTATGTCAAAAGGTTCAAAAGACATTGGGGAATACCACAATTATGTGACAGTTGACCTGCAGCCGACAGTAACATACTTAGTTAGGCACTTGTAACACCATTCCTTATCGCAATCACTAAACTGTTTTTGAGTAAGTTTAAAGTAACTTTCAATAACTTAAAAGCTTTGTGATAACGTTATTTGTTTTAATTCAGCTATCGCAGACTGACCAAATACCTAACCTATGCATTTTTGGTCTGTAAATAATTGAAAATCCAGTTCAACAGTTAATTAAAATTCAATAGTTATTCTGCCTGAAGTAAGTACCCCTACTAACACATTAAGTACCTACATAAACTAAGTTCTTTTTTTATAATAAAAGGAGACCGGTTTTATAAATAGTATAACTATAATAGAGTGATAATTAGGTTTTTGCTCGAATTATACAGGTTGAATGCATTTTGGAATGTTAAAAATATACATTTTAAATCGTTATTATTTGCATTACACATTTAAGGTGTAGTAATTAACTGGATAATTAACTACTGGAGATTTAATTGTGCATATACATAAAATGCAGAATTAACAAAATAAATATAACCTAATAAGCGACGATAGCCGAACGGTGAAGGTGTCGGACTAGCCGACTCGTGATCCGAGTCTATTCCGCTTTGACTAGCTAAGTAAGTTGTAGAATAATAAATAATAATAATAATAAATAAATCTTTGGACAATTTCACACAGCGCCAGCTAGCCCCAAAGTAAGCAACTTAATGCTTGAGTTATGGGTGCTAGCTTAACGGATATACTACTTATATACTTTTTTTTTTTTTTTTAAGTAGAAGCAATAAAGAACTTCATTTATTTATTTGATCACCTGGATTTGATCACCCGGGTGATCAAAGTGGACTTTGATCGCTTGAGTGATCAAATCCAGGTGATCAAAGTGGAATAGACCGCATATTTACTCGTAGCATACCACGAAGGGTTAACGGGACTATTAGGAATTTGTGCTACAAATTCTTAAAAAAAATTTAGATAACAGATCCCAGTAAAATTTTTAGAAAAGGAAACAAGCAAAAGATGCAGTTAGCAATCTTGTAAAGTAATTTATCTGTCAGCGATTTGTGATTTGCATAGGTACCTACAATTTGTTCAATCACCTTGCCCCGTGCCTTCGGGCGGATCTATTGTTTTATCATTTTTACTACATTAATAACCGTGTAATTATCTAATTACATGATTGCAAATACCTAGAAATGGCTTGCTTTATTGCAATCATCATCTTAGTACTTGTTGTGAACGCCGATTTTCAGTGTCATTATTACACAAAAAAAAGTTTGCGTTCACTTCATTGTACTATTTGTTAAAATATTTATCAAATACCTAGTTTATGCAGTACATAGGCCCTGTCCAGTAGTGTCCAGACAACTTACACGTCCCAAATATGTATTATAGCTTGCCCTTCCACCACTTCGGGACTTTTGCGCTTTTGACATTTTGCGCCTAAACCACAGCATTTTAAAAGGGCTGGTGCTGAGAAGAAGTGGCGGAAGAAACCAAAAGATAATACACATAAAAAATAAAGTAGAATTTGGGCAGTTGATATTTTTAAGGAACAAACACTTTAAGGAACAAATTCCATGAAAACTCTTCATTTTAAACCTGAAAATATTAGATTAGATAAATCTAAGATGAAAACCCAATTAATATTCAGTTAATAACAGTAAAATTAAATTATTTAATTTTTGAAATAAAATACACCGTAAAGTTCCTATCAGTCATGATAAGTAAGTCATTTGAATATTTTTTGAGTACTCAGTTGTTAACGTAAATTAAATATTGAAATAAAAATTTACCGTTTGTCCAACAATGGAACTCGTTGTTAATGTAGGAGTTACTTAGCGGTTTTTCTACTCTTCAAAGCGTGTTTGCTGTCAAATAAAAAAAGAATTACTTACAAAGCCGCCATTGGCCAGTTATAAAATCTATGTATCTATCTATCTTCTATAAATAAAAATGAATTGATGTTCGTTAGTCTGATTAAAACTCGAGAACGGCTGGGCCGATTGAGCTGATTTTGGTTTTAAAATGTTTGTCGTAGTCCAGGGTAGGTCTAAACGGTGAGCAAATACGCGCGCGATATTGTTTTTCTGTGACAGACAAAATTCCACGCGGGCGAAGCCGCAGCGGGCGGAAAGCTAGTAAAAAATAAAAACATGATTTCCGTATCTGAGAAAAATATAATAATTTATAGAATTTTGCTGTTTTAACCGTTTTAACAATAGCCCTATGAAATATTAATTAGGTATCTACTTTATAGTGAAAAAATAAGCACTTCTAGGTGCCAAAAAGTATCTGACGATATTACATACAAGTAATCGTTTTCTAATTTCCTACTGCGTGAAATTATTTCAGTAAACAATTATAATGATTTCCTTATAAACACAAACTTAGCATTTCCCATAATACTACGTGCCGGAATGTAAGCTAGTTAAAATTGACAAACTTACCAAGACCCCTTGTTGGGAACATCCGCCTTAGAAACCAGAGGTCATCTTAGGCGGAATCCGCCCAAATTAAATTAAAGTATGAATATGTCATTCGTGGGCAGAGACCTTTTGTAATTGGATCCAGTATAAATAGATCTTCATGCTTTAAAAGCTTCATACATTTGACAGGTCTTATAAGTTTGGAAGTGTTCACCAGTATAGTTGGAGCTGTGCTTCAAAACAGTTTCATACAAAATGAAGGCCAATTGGAATTGGTTTGAAACCTATCACCAATGTCAAGGTTACTATGAGGAAAAAAAATTGCAGCTTAAAACCGTGATCGCAGAACGTAAATGGTTTAGTCTACAGTCAGTTCTGTATGAACAAAGTTAAAATAACTAAATAAATAAATATTAATTAAAGTTGAGTAGTGCCAATAAAGTGCCTGTGCTAGTGATCAAAAGGTGTATTTTTATTTGGTGAGATGCGAACTTTTAATTATTTAATTAGTAACATATGAAAGAGTTAATTTTAATTCAGGCTTTTATTTTTAATTACATTCTAAATTAAAGTTTTCATTTAAATTTGAAAGAAATTAAACATTAGGAAATCTACATAAATATTTATCATTTTATGTAGGTACAATAATTTAGTTTATAATAAAGCATGTTAATAGGTAGGTACCTAATTTTATTTCTACCAAAAATATTTTAAGCTTCAAGAAAAACTTTCATTCATAAGAATTCTAAATGAATTAGGTAATAATTAATTCAGAGTAGCCGCATTTGAGCAATTA